CCCCCCCCTTGAAAAAAATCCCGGGTTAGACGTTATTGAGCGTTTTCCTACAGGCCGAGTTTTTATTCAGGAATATACTTATCACATCGACGGGACTATCTCCAAATCTTTCTTAGTTCAACACTCTGCTATAATATATTTTCTACGCGTAGTATATAAAGCCTACTTTTTTTCCCATCAAATATTTTTTTAGGTTCGATAATCATTAAATAAAAGTTCCAAACAGGAACAGATCGAGGAAACTCAAGGTCATGTATCAATGTAATCATACTGTAATTTAGTTTCAGAACGACACATTCTTACTGCTATCACTAAATTCCGAGGATTATCTGAACAGTTTCAAACAGATATAAATCTAGAAAAGTTTGCTTTCTTTGGCAACTAGCATGATCAAGCACTTACGCGAGCCTCCACTCGTAAACTAGTGAGCACTCTTAAGATAAGCTTGTCACTCAGATATTATCATCCATGGGTAATGTAAAACTCTCTGACGTGCAATTACTTCATCGATATGTTTGTAACGGGAGAGATACTGCACAATGGCGTAATGGGAGATTAGGGATGGGAAGGGCGCTGTCATTATTTATTTATTTTTGTTTCTTCATTTTTATTATTTATTTTTTTCATCAATCGTACAATCTATGTAATGAAAACGTTTTGAATTAATGGCAAGATGAAAAATAACTGTATTATATTTTAAAGATTGATTTGTATTGTTTGGGTCTTACCCCAGGGAATTAACTTCAAATTCAAAATAACAGGACCATCGAGGGGGCGAGGGAGGGGGTTCTTTTCTAGCGCTTTTCCTTCTCCCTTTCCGTTACTCTTTTCGTTTTCTTTTCGTTTGCTTTACTCCATTGAATGAGGGTGCACATAGCTCCCCCCCCCCCCTTACCCCTCGCGTATACGCCAATGACGCCGCGTATCAAGTGTATGAAGTTGTTCTGAATTGGGCCAATTAAAGTAACATCGGATGCCAAAGCTCTTCAAAAGTGAAACGTTATCTGACAATCTGACATAATTTTGTCGAGCACGGGTCTTATATGTTAATTATGTCTACATACATGTCTTCCTTTAAAACCGCGTTGGCCTCAATATTGGATGAGGATGAAACAGGAGTGCAAGAGAGAGAGAGAGAGAGAGAGAGAGAGAGAGGGGTAAAGAGAAAGAAAAAGATAGGAAAAGAGAGAAAGAGAAAAAGACCGAGATAGAAAGAGAGACAGAAACAGAGAGAGAGAGAAACAGAGAGCAAGAGAGAGTGGGAAGAACAACCGCAGAAATGTAGCCTCAATAACTAGTGAGATAGAAATGATAAAGAGAGAGGGAGAGAAAAAAAAGAGACAGAGAAAAGCAAACAGCATAGACGAAGGAGCCAGACAGGGTGTTTATAACCATATCATCCGTAGTCTTTATGGTTTTAAGCTTTCACCATTCTTTAGGAATAACGGCAACATTTGAGACGAGACGCGGATCACAATTATTTAATATCACTTTGCCCCCCCCCCCCTCCTTTTTCTATAATTTGCAAAGTTATTATTTTCTATGTGTGCATGGGGAGATATGATGATGATGGTCCAAAGCACTTGTATGACGCCATCTATCTGTTTAAAACATTCAAAGGCGCCCGCCACTCCGATAGTCACGGACTACACTGCATTTGCTTGAAAAGATGGGTTTGGGACATTATAAATCCAGCACTACCAGCAGACTTTAGTTGAAAGTCCATGTAGAGACTTTTTAAGCCCTTGTGAAAGTAATTTATCAGATACGTTTAATTTCCAGTTATAAATTGCAATACGTTCATCATTGTAAGCCTAAGTTGGTAGTGTTTTTCCGGGGCAGTAAACTGGCAGGCAAATGTGATGTGATAAGTGAAAAGTTCACAGAAGATCAAATACTTTTTTTTTTTTAATATTCTTGTGAATGTTTACGCAATGACTCAGTTGCCCATCCTCTTTCTGTTTTATAGGGACTGGGTGTTGCAAAAATTCCACACGACTCCAAATTACGTATAGAACGCATGTGTGCTTTTGGGGGGAGGGGGTGCCTCAAAGTGCAATTTATAAGATATGTACCTACACTTAAAGAGAAGGTTGAGTTCTGGGAAGAGGTAAAAAATAATTTGTGAGCGTTATCATTGTTATTATGCAAAGGTGGAAGAACATCAGATTAAACATGTTCCCTGAAAAGCATGGCTCTACAAATGCCTTCATATTCTAAATACGACATGAAACATCGTAAAAATCGGGGGGTAGGTTTTTTCGCCATGTGCTCGTGTAGTCCCATATACATTATTCTGTGTATAGTGCTTGTAATTTTGCCAAGATTTGGCCAAATTTCTTATCATTTTGATGATTCCAGAACCTTGCAATACACACAAATACTTATATACTATAGATTATCAACCTTTTCTGATAGATTCCACACCGTTTTTTTCACAATGCAATCACATGACCAGAACTCAACTTTAGGCCTATCTTTAAACCTCCCATCCAGCCACCTCGGGTCTCAATTATGCAATCACGACTTATATGCTTATTTTAAAACATTTTACGGATCACATTTCAGGCGATCAATATGCCAAACAGAATGTACAAAAACTGTGTTTCAGAATATTAATATTGTTTGATATATTTTCGAAACAAAATATTTTTAAATCAGTACGTAACTATGCACATTTAGAATAAAGTCTATAAACTGAATGTTTACGCCTTATGTATATACACATTTTTATATTTTAATTTAATTACTAATGTAATTTATATTCTATGAATACTATCTTGAACAATTTCAGCCTTTCAATTATAAATTGAACGATTTCATCGGCGTTTTAACTTTAGATTGCACAATTTTAGCGTTTAGCAGCATGCGTCATGTATGATGTGTTTTAAGAAAATAACCCACTTCAATTGAAATCAGTATGGCTTCTAGTTGAAACTATGATTGACTGATTGTTTTTCATAATCACGACAGATGGTGGAGTAGCTGCCAACACGCTGTTGATTTACTGCCAACAAGCTATCATACACACCTGCTGCTATTATGTGTAATACCGTAATTAATTTCTAGCGAAATATGTGAATAGTCAAGTGAAATATCCGCGATATCTGATATTTCGCAAAGAATTTGTCTAGAGTTAATTCAAAGCACGTAAGTCCTCATATTATGAGAATGAATGCCAATACTTTATCGCTGAATTTATGGAAAGGCCGGAGCTTGAGGTGAATATGTTAAGTATGGAAATTATTATAGGCGAATTTCATCTCCGTCATGATATTTGTTAATGTTTAGGTAAAGAACGTGGTAGGAAATGAGTATTCAAATTGTAATTATGTATTTTATTTCCATTTTATTTGCACTAAATGCACTAATCCTGAAACGTCAAAAGTGTTACCGTCATTATCAAATGAAATATTTCTGTCACTCTTTAGGCTCATCCAAATGTTTCGAAAGTCAGTTTTTATTCGTATTTGAATATCATGATTGCCATTCCATTTCAAATATGTATTATGTACTATACTTTTCAGAGAAATTGCATATCAAATATTGGGTTAAATAGGGACAAAATCTGAAGAGGGAAAACAAAAAGCGGAAATGTTATTTGTTTATATATTGATCTGTTAAAAGTTATAATGCAGTCCCTAAGCTCACAGCTCCCCCCACCCCCCCCCCCCCCCTTCTATGCAAAATGCAGCTTGGAACAGGTAAAATGCATTTAATTAATTGATGCAAGTATGTAGTCACAACAATACCATACAGAGATAGACAGTTGGGAACACGCAACATGCAGTTTGGAACAGGTAAAATGCAATATCGATGCAAGTGTGTAGTCAAAACAATACAATACGAATATATAAATACAATAACTTAATTGATGTAAGTATAGATGTAGTCAAAACAATATTAGTGGAATACAACATAGGCTCTATAGCTAGAATCAGTAGTTCAGATGTGCTGAAATAGCCTATCTACTAGATGTAATGCATGCACTAGCTGTGTGTTGGGGGGGGGGTCGACATTTCCGTCATGTAGTCGGAGTGACGTGCGCGTTCCAAAACATTAGTGACTTTTACTTGAGTAAATTAAAGAGATACCAGCTATTTGTAATATCATTCTTGCTTGAGTGGACGCGAACGGCGTGAACGTATACGTCCACTGATCATGCGAGTCTATGGCAAGCCGTTTTAACATGTATTCCTATTTCTTTTCTTTTTTTAATTTTTTTATTGGGTACTCAAAAATATCTTAAAAGCCAACTGGCTATTTACAATCATGTACAGGAATGTGAAATGACAAAAACATCATATAGTCCACTACAAATTAATTACTCATCAAATATAAACTTTTTAAAATGGAGCTAGGCTTAACTTGCCATATTTGGCTGCAATTACATATTCAGATTTAGACTTAATTTTTATCAAAGAATTTATTCCTATTTCTTGATATCAAGAATTGCCATTGCTTTACAATAAAAACTATTAAGAAATATGAATAAATGTTAAAACGGCTGAATGGACACGCATGATCAGTGAACGTTCACGTCGTTCTCGTTCACTCAATCTAAATGTCCCTATTGCCGCTACCACAACAACCACTATTTGGTAGGAGGGACCTTATTTAATGTTCCCGAAATCTCCTTTTCACGCAATGTCAAAGTCCGGCTCGTAATACACACACACAAAACAAAAATCTGCCCGTATTAATTGACTTTACACACCGGAGATAGGGGTACTTTCAAAGTGAGGGAACATACATACACTATGAACATGACTGACAAAGAAAGCGGACAAAATATACAGTTCCTCAGGTAGACAAAGGAACATCCCCTCACTGCTATTATGTAAACATGTGTAGAACAGGTGTCACATGCATATTGACCTTTTTACACAGTGAAGTTATGTTCCTTTGTCTACCTGAGGAACTGTATATTTTGTCCGCTTTCTTTGTCTGTCATATTCATAGTGATACTGGTACCCTAAATAACACTGAGTGGGGGCTTTCGTAGCCTTGTCACATCTGAACGCCGACTGGACAGACTTGCAACCCATTCATGTCCGAAGAATAGCCGAAGAATGACCACCACGAGACGAATAGATCAAAGGTCCTATTACATAATCAACATCACAATAAGCCAGAAAATCCGACGAACGAACACAATGTCAACACATCATCTATGTAGGCCTACCAGGCGAACGTCCATATTCATTGTATCGCCCCATCACAGATTCTAAAGGGATAGCGTCGATGTTTCATGACTGTAGACGTGTCTAAGCAGCTGAACCTTTGACAACCTTTGATGATCCAACCCCCGTAAAGGTAAGGAAGTGCATAATTATTATATTTTTCCTTTGATTGTGCCATCTTGAACTCAACGTGAATAACGTGAGTATGACTTTGAAGGAAGTAGTTGGCTTGTGCAAAGCATTTTCACCGGTAACTTTACATTTACCCATGAGAGGTGTTGTAAAATAAGGTAGGCCGGTGAACTTCTTTTCCTAGAGAGTAATCATTGAACTGGTATTACAGTAAGTCTTGGTATAGCTATGAGCATTATCTCAGGAGACAACAGATTATTTTTTAAAGAGTCGACATAATATCTAACCACTTGAAGAACAGGTATGTATTACACAGCAATGACAGCATTATTGTGGGAACCCTCTATTTCAGCATTATAATGCAGTCATGTTTCTACACGGAGCAAGCTTAGTTGTGATATACACCTACTAACATATTTTGTATGATTATATCTACATGTATGGACTAATGTCATTCATAAAGGTTAATATGGACGACCATGATAGTTTTTACAATCATTATACCAGAAACTGTCTTGTATAACTGATTATTAAAACTTGTATTTTAAACTTCCTGCACACACACAAAAAAATGTTATCACGGTTTAGCATTACAGAGCTCCCAATTTTTTTTCTCCAAGTGCATGCCTGATAGTCGTACAGATTTCTAATTTGATGTCCTGAAATTGTTGTTTGAGTTTTCCAATGGTAATTTAGCATTTCGATTTATGGAATTATTTGTGTTCCTACGACTATGTTACATATGCTACCCCCCCCCCCCTCCTCCTCCTCCGGAAAATCCAAAACAGATCAATGTTTTGAGGGTTCCTAACTTCCTATTATTGCTTTAATCTATAGCGTTAGAGAAAGTTAGTTATTCATAAAGTGCATTTTAATCTTCTTATAATATTAAAAACGAGTTTTTCGTTTTCAGTAAACAACGATAACCCTTCGGTAAATCAATTTAAATTAAAAGAGTAAGGTTTTAAATATTTGAATCAAGAGGGATCATGTCTTTTGATTTTTTTATTTTTTATTTACAATCGATATTCTATAATTATGTCAGCGCTGATCATAGGCCATAACGTTCATTATAACGAACCATTTCATTTAAGAAAATTAATCTGAGAATTGACCTCACTCCTATTATTTTACAAGTATCTATTGTATCAGATAGCTGTAACTTATCTCTGCTTAATTGTATCATTTAGTATCAGGTTAAACAAATATTACCTGAAAACAGGCCGGATCAAAGTACACCTTGGCAATATGATAAATATAAATTGATATCTTAATTGATATCACGTCGTTGTTTGATTCAATGTAGGCCTACTGTACAATAGGGAGATTCCATGCAATGTGCTCTGCACGACTTTTATCCATGTAATGTATAATTGCATATATCATAAAAAATGAATAACAAAATATTTTGATACATTACATTGATGAATGATACAAGAAAGGACCATTATATCACGAAATTCATAATTTTTGATAAAATATTGGGGCGGGGGGGGGGGAGAATTTGTCGAACAGGACACAAACGAAATCGCTCATATTGTTAAATCTTGACATGACTTAAAGGCTAAGTCCACTCCAAAATAATTTGCTTTTAATAGATGCAGAAAAACAAGATAAACAGAGCAAACAAAAGTTGAGTAAAATCGGATAACTAAAAGAAAGTTATGAATTTCTGCAAAAGTATGAAAAACTATGGAACAACAGAAATCGCTACACAAATTGCCAATTTGGTTATCAGTTTGTGACGTCATTGCCTCACTATTCATCAATTGCTTTATACATTTTTATCCCATTCATTTCTTTTTTTTATCCCCAAAACTGGAATTCCCCATGCCGTGTCCAGGTTTTGTGATTTGTATCATATTGCGTGCAAGACATTTCACAAAATCTGTTATAAACTTTGAAGAATTGATACTATTTTTCAAATATTGTATATTCATAATCATTGATTTTTATATAAATAGTTAATCAAAATTCACATTTTTCACGATTTAACTGAAATAAAGTACTCTATATTAGTGCATTCACACACAAACATATTGCTAGGCTACACATTACTATTTATATAACTTGGAAGCTGGTGTGAGGAAATAAAATTCTTAGGGAGGAAATGGGAAATGTATGATTAGTGGATAGTGAGGCAATGACGTCACAAACCAATGAGTGAGTTACCAATTTGTCTTGTGCGATTTTCAAAGTTTGTCATGTCATTAAAAACTCATAATTTTTTGTATTGATTATCCAATTTTGCTCAAACTTTTTTGATTGGTTTGTCTGATTTTTCTGCTTCTATCGAAAGTAAGTTATTTTTGGAGTGGAGGTGCTCTTTAACAAAGTATGCCGTATCGAAATATATGTATAGATGGTTCCCATAATCCCACCAGCAGCCATATTGGAGGACAAAACCATAGCAAACCCGTGCACTAGACCATGGTTGTTATTGTTTGTCCTCCAATATGGCTGCTTGTGAGAACCCTCTGTAGAGTAGAGTAATCACTGTAATTTGTTTCGTCTCACATCAACGTTCACGAACCTCTTTAATTTGTTTCACATTTCTTTTCCAACACAGAAAAGCCTACCACTCCTGACGAGTCTATGACGAGTCTATGCGCACGACATTCTTCAACGATTTTGGCGGGAGCTTTTCATCTATAACCATCCAATTACTATCTGTGCCATTAAAACAAAATGACGAGACCTTCACTCATGGCAAAGACATTCATATCGTAAATGAGCAAACGCTATTTGCGACTATTAACGAGACGTTTCACTCCATCAGTTTGATATCGACCTATATCACCACCAGCACATAATTTGCCAAGTGTAACCATAGCAACCAGTGCCGGCGGTTAATTGAAGCACGTTTTCCTGATCTCTTGTTATAGATGATTTGTGTCTCTCCACCGAGATATTACGGTTGTCGTTTGAAAGGAATGATTCATGTTGTTAAAGATAGTACGTCGACACATGGAATCCACAGCTAAACTGATCCGTTGATGGAAAAGGCTTGAGAAGACGACCACGTTCAGGAATGATTTCATCATCGCCAAAAATTTGTATACAGGAACAATAATTTGGAATGTTGTCATATCAACGCGGTAGGAGTGACTGACGCATAAGTATGACGAGTCGGCAGCAATCACTTTCCATGATTTCGCTTCTGGTTTTACTTTGGACCATCTGTCTGGCAAACCGATGCAACACCTATGTTTGAAATTATTGGAAGGGCTTCACTCTTTAGAGTTAGCGAACGCAAAACCCTCTCGAACAAAAGAAAACGATTTGATTTGTATCATTATAATTATGAATAGATAATTGCAGTTCCAGATGGCTAATTCATCATTCCACTCAAAACTTGTACTCCTTACTATTGTATTTGGGGTGTGTCAATTCCTGATCTTTATGTCTTGTGATTCAAGGGATGATCCTCGCCACCTTTCTAAACAGAATAGTGCAGAGAAAAGAGCTCTTGGTTTAAAACTAAAGGCCACAGAAAAATCCAGGCCTATCATCACATCGGATGCGAGAACTAAGGTCAATAAAAGTAGTAGCGATGTAAACGTGACTGCGATGTTGCCGAAAGTGCGATTCGATGGGACATGGAACTCGTCGTTCGTTGCTCCCATGTACCATAGATATTACCAAGCGAATTGCGCCTCGATATTTGCTGATAGCCGTCAAGCCATCGATGAAGCGAATCGTCTGATGGGGAAATCAAAAGAGCCGATAGCGGTGCCGTCAGATGAAACCGTTCTTGGTTGGACAAAGGATTGCGAAGTATTTGAAAGAGAGCGACGTTATCCGAATAAACCGCGATCCGTTGAAGAAGAAGAGTATCCGATCGCTTTTGTCATCGTGACGCACAAGGAGGTGGCGCAAGTTGAGCGATTGTTGCGTGCCATTTATCACCCTCAAAACGTGTACTGTATTCACCCTGATGTGAAGTCACCGCCGGTGTTTCAGGAGGCTATTAGAGGTTTAGCTTCTTGCTTCGACAATGTTTTTATCGTCTCCAAAGTTGAAGATGTCCAGTACGCCGGTTTTACTCGCCTGCAAGCAGATGTCAACTGTATGTCGGATCTTCTGCAGCATTCTGTTCATTGGCGATATGTCATCAACATGTGTTCCCAAGACTTCCCTTTAAAGACAAACCTGGAGATGGTGCGGCAGTTAAAAGCATACAAAGGCAAAAACGATATCAACGGAATTCTCCCACCCTCATACATCAAAGGCAGGACTAGAACCCACTTCATAGCTATCAACGGCAAAATGACGGGCACGCGAAAGCATAAGACACCGCCTCCGAACAATCTTACAATCTACTTCGGCAACGCGTACTACGCAGCGAGTCGCGCATTCGTTGATTACGTCATAAACAATCAGGTGGCCGTAGACCTTCTGCATTGGTCAGAGGACACGTTTAGCCCCGATGAACACTACTGGGTTACTCTCAACCGTAGTCCTGGTGTCCCAGGGGGTTATTCCAACGCAACATGGGATTCAAATGTACGCTTCATGAAGTGGGGAGATGTGCCCAAGCACCCACCATGTAAAGGAAAATACGTCCGCGCGCTCTGCGTCTTTGGGGTGGGATATCTGAACTACCTGGCGAAGATGACCCATTTGTTTGCTAATAAGTTCTATTATTCATACGATCCAGTAACCCTTCAGTGTCTTGAAGAATTGCTTGACTTCAGGACTGCTCATCCAGAAACGATTTCTGACTTTGTATCGAACTTTCCAGTCACAGATTTGTTATGGCAGCTGAATTAGGCAGGGTTGCATCGATCGTTGATATGATCTTTCATTAATACCTGAACTGTTGGTGTTTCGACTTTTTTAGAATCTACGTAAATTGGTATTGGTATTAGCAAGCTCTCTACCATTCAGGATTGGTCTCTATCGAGACCAGGATTGATGTTAATTGAAGGAGAATTAAACCCTTCATTGTAATCTACGTTATTATGTAGAGGACAAATTTTAAACTCACCTTTTCATATAACACTCCGGTTCGTAGGATATGTATATTCACTAAAGTTTCCAAATTAAGAAGACGGTTAAAACCGTTATTTTTATTTATGATGATTGAAATAAATCTGCAATAGTACGAGGTCTACAAACATCGTACCCTCACAAAGATCGGTAATAACGGTTTTAAAAATGTAAAATATCCAGACTAGAAATACCCATGCGTTCGTGCTCTCATTAGGGACTTTTAGATTTGCACAACGACAACGTGGATTGCTACGATCGACGTCCTTTTAATGTACTGCCTTGAATGGACGTCACACGTATCAGTCCACGCAAATCTAAAAGTCCCTATTAACTCCCAGTGTACGCCCGTATCCCTGCCAACATAAAATAGAGATATTGATTTTTATTACTGTCTTGATATGACAAATATTATTTTTTATTTATAATTCAATTAAATATTTTCAATTAGAAAATAAAATATTGTATTTTTTTAACATGCAATTATACTTATAAGTATGATTGATATAGTTGGCCAATCGTGCGTCCATAGCGCATTTACGTCACGATCTTTGGTGAGGACAAAAAAAGTGAGATCCGCCACTGGATGTACCATAAAGCCGAAAGTAAAATATTCACTGGGGAAATGCAATAATAATTTATACAACTCTTAAATTAGTTGACGGACAAACAAACGAAAAAAGTGTGTTTTGGGGTTCCATTTGAATAAAGAGAGGTTTAGGGAAAGTACTCTAAAACCCGTCGATGATACAGATTCTGTGGTTTTAATTTCCTGTCCTACTTGAGTTCTACTCGATGCTGCATGACAATTAAATTTTGGGGTGGACAGGGAGGAGCAGGACTTTGTTCATTGTACCAATAAAATAACTTCCAGTTTTGTTGATTTTTTTGTTAATAGAGAGTGAATAACATGTGCAATTGAATTATAAACTATGTTTATTTACTTTAAGTTCACTTCGTTGCTCATTTAAATATACTGCAAATTCATTTTTGTTTAATTATGCTTATGTATAAGCAATTAATATTGAAAACATTTATTTATTTTATTCAGCTGTATGTTCTTGTTTCTATTACATTTGGAGGAATAAAACAAAATTACTATTTTTAAAAAAATTGTCTGTTTTTGTTGATGTTTATCAAAGAATTTTAGAATTGTTCCCATCCCCTGCCATAGAATCCAGGATCCACCATTAGTAATCATTGTTTTGACAATCTCAAATTTAGAATTGAATATTCGTTAATATGACAATACACTCGTGGTGCGTCTTTTATGTATTGAGCGGACTTTAATCAATAGTCTTGTTCAGACGGAGGCAATATACACCTAGGGTAAAGGTCGTGTTAAGAGCTAGTCGGGGTATATGGCGTGCCAAGCATGCAGGAAACTACATCTGTACAACTATACCATTGGCGGATTCAGGGGGGAAGGCCCCCCCCCCCCCCCCCCCGGGAAAAAAAGGGGGGAAAGGGGAGAAAAGGAGGGGAAAAGAAAGAAAGAAAGGGCAGAGAAAAAGAAGAAGAAAAGGAGGAGGAGAGAAAAGGGAAGAGGAGAAAAAGGAGGGGGAAAGGAAGAAAGGAGAAGAGAGAGGGGAGAGAAAATGGGGAAAGACGGAGAAGAGAAAAGGGGGAAAAGGAGAATAATGAGAAGGGAAAAGAAAGAAAGGGGGATGATATTATAAGAAGGTGTTTTGTTCCGGGAAACATATATGCTGCATTCGCACGTAACAGGTTAATACGAGAAATCACAACCTGTACGGAAGGGAGGGGGGGGGGGGGGGCACATCTTCTCAGGATCGATGGAAACGAGCCGTCCCGCAACTCATTTCGTCCATTTTTAATTCGCCTTGACAGTTATTTTCAGAAAGTACTGCTCCCTGCTCGCGCCGCTCATTACATTTTGTTAGAGGCCATTTCAGGGCAGTTACCCCCCCCCCCTCGAAAAATTACACCCCACCCCCCCCCCCCCCTCTCTCCCAAGTACAATTACCCTGTGGATAAATTTCCCCTAAGACAATTGCCAAAAGAAAAGGACCGGTATTCAATTCAATACTTAGAATAAGTAAATTACTAAGCTAAGAACTTAACTTATCTCGTATTCAAATCTCATGTTACCAAAATGTCCTTTTCGTGCGACAAAGTCCGGCCCGAGAATTGTAAAAAAAGGGGTGTATTAAATTTTCACCCAGAGACTTCTTTAAAAAAGGGTGTTTTTTCTTTATTTCTCTCATCTCTTTGGACTCCTGAGAAATTATTCCAAATTGAGGGGGGTACATTGAGCATTTTTCATGATTTAGGATTGTCTTCAAGGCAGGAAAATCCAGCGAAAAGCCCGCGAAAGGGGGGTTCGGAAATGTTGGCAGTCCTCAGATAGGGGGTGCTTTCAAAAAGAGGGAACAAGCATACGCGTACCCTAAATAACACTGAGTGGGGGGCCGGGGCCCCCTCTCCACCCTCTGCAAATACGTACGCTTACACTTGTGGGGGTTAGCTATGAATTTAATATTTGTTCTGTTCTGCAACTTAAAATAATTTCACAAAATAAATAGCGCCTGAAAATTCAGTTACTGAAAGATCCATGCTAGATTTCAGTGAGCAGTATTGACCGAGTTGTCTATGATTTGGGGCGATTTTTTGTTCTTAACTGATGAAGTTACTGTGGCCGTGATGTTCGTGTTCCGTTATTTATTTCTTTTCATTTTCTGTAGATGCGTCATTTCTGCAGTGGATGGAGGTAAATAAAAATATCGCTATTGAAAATGCTGTTGCTTGAATACTTAAGTCAAACCTTGTTTTAGTAAATTCTAATTAACATGATAATGAAGGGAGAGGGGAAAATGTTTTCATTGTTGCAATGAATGGTAGCGATAAAAATTTGATACTCCGCACTAAATGTAGATTCTAACATTACCAAACTCGAACTTGAATGAGTGGGACTTGTGTGAGCGTGACTGTTGTGAGCGTGACGAGTCGGCCTAGCTAGATCTACGTTAGACCGAAAGCTTCAGTCTCTATAATCGTCGGTTGTTCCACTGAGACTACGTCTGGCTCCACTAGACCTCCGGTTATAGAGACTGAACGATCGCCTATACCAGCCTATGTTGAAGATATCACAGCTAGATTTTAGCCACTAGGCCCCTCCCACAAACATGACAAACTTGCCACGGCCGTATTGTTGCCCCCAAAATCCCCCAAAATGTCATTTTACCTCGTCCATATCCAATTTTAAATTAGGCCTAGGCTATAATACATCGGTTCCACTTACTAACTTGATTGAAATAATCCGTTTAATGGTCCCTTTTAAGGAAATTATGGGTCAAAATCGACATCCATGTTGAAAATCTAGCAAGCCGTGTAATACTCTCGCTGCCGTTAATCTCGTCCCTTCTAGTCTACGCCGAAGGCAAAATGATTATGAAGGAAAAACTGTGATAACGCCATTACGAACGTGTAGATGGCGCACAGTTTTTCCTTCAGCTGAGCTAGATCACTAGTAACTCCGGGAAGCTCCAACATCGGCGGCGCCGCTGCGGCACCGGTGTTTGAGTTTCCCGGAGATAGCTCGCTAGCTGAGCTCGAGTCGAAGAGATTTGACACTTTGAAATTGTTATCTGTTGGTTTGCATCATTATTGCCGTAGATGTACGAAACCTGAGCTTAGAATTAGTAAAAGTATTACTAATGTCTACGTTTTTAAACGACTGTCTGATTTTCTTGTGAAAATTTTATTTTGAAAAATGATTATCGAAATTCATGGCCAGAAATGATCACAGTCTGGGGTCTATTATGTTACATTTCTTGCATCAAATCCATGCATGAAAACTTAGTTATTGAACTAGAAAAAGGGGTTTCTTTTTTAATAGGCAATTATGAAGCAGGAAGCCTGAAACCTTAGCCTACTAAACAAATCTCAACAAACTGTAGGCCTATCCTTTTATGAATTAATGAAAAAGTACCCCCAGAAAAAAGAGCCTCTGAAAGTTGAAAAAGTAGCCCAAAAATTTCCCAAAAATTTGAAATGGAGCCCCCGAAATGAAAAAACTTAATTTTTTGCCTGCATAGGGGGCCACCCCCGGAATTCTAAAAATATGTTGGTCAAAACAGCGATTGAAATATTGTTTACATCCTAGCTCCGAGACGACTCACTTTCCTGAGCCGCGCCCCCACGGCTTAAGTAGGGCTACCGGGTAGACATAAAGATAATATCCAGGTGCTTTTTTTTTTGCTAGCCCCCAGGGATCATTCGCAACAGTTTGAAAATACTCTTCCCACATTTTTTGAATCGGCTAATTAGGGAGGCGTGAGCTCCACTCAGTCCAAACCATGGTTACATAGCGCACATGAATATGCATTTGGACCACGTACGAATCAATCCCAAGAAGTCATTGCACGTTATATCGGATCACACTTCCAACCCGGAAGTGAGTACACGTTATAAGTCAATGGCGACATCGCGGAGACAATGTTGTCAAGTTTTGCGCATTCAACTTAGCAACATGCGTACGCTATGCATACGCATGTATATTGCGCGATGGAGCATCTGCTAGCTGTTTGGTTAAATTTAGCAAAACAACCTAACTCCGCATTTACGTCTTTTTTGTCGAGTCCGACCCAAATGAAATGAATATTGCAGAGTTTTGGAGGGGCTGTATCTTTTGATAGAAATATGAAATTTGAAATATATTATTATTATTACATTTTTTATTCACATATTTTTTTTAAATGGTGAAAAACGATCCTAAATTGAAGATTGAAAAATCGTACAGACACCCTACTAATGCTAACCCTATTCATCCATGTTGTATCGTCGATTCAACATGGCTAAGAGAAAGTATGCATGCGCGGTAGCGGTGCAGCAAGTATGAATATTCATGCTAAAGTCAAAGAGCGCAGTTTGCCTGAAATTGCTGAATATGCATAACTCAAAGAAAAAGAGCCCTTCTCAATCTCATGCATATTCAACAATGAATATTCATAATCTGCTTCGTCGCTACTGGGCATGCGTACTTTCTCTTCACCATGTTGAATCGACATGGATGAAAAGGGTTAGGACGAGGAACCACCCTTTTTATCCATCAAAGACTTCCTCAAATTATAATTTTAAGTGGTTGGACGGCTGTCCAGAGAAGTAAAAAAAACATTGTAATTACGGCCCTAGTGTACGGTACTTTCGTATCCATTTTTTACCGGTTATTCTTGCGCGAAGATGGCCTACTAAAACATACCAAAAATCAACTAAACCCTCATCAATTGTTCAAATAATGGTCATGATTTAAAATTTGTTCTGTTTCTCACCTGTTTGGTGTCAATTTTGTTATCTCTTTTGGAGTATTTTTCCTAAAAACCAAATCATTATAATATACACTTTCTCACAGGTTTCACGGCACACCGCTGCACAATTACAGTACAATTGCGTACCCAATACCGACGAAGAGGTGCAGGCAAGCCCGCGTGCGTGAAGTTAGCGACCATAATAAGAATTACAGTCGATAACTTCACAGACGCTTTTCCGATTACTTCCGGCTCATGAAAATAAAAAGCGAATTAGTTCATGTACAGTTCCTTATGATGTTTTATATGTAAGATTAGTGCCCACACATCCCCAGTCAAGTAATTTTGATTAATATTTCAGGAAATGTTGCTCCATTTCCTTTCGCTTGTCTCCTGTAATGGTAAGCACTGTGTAGTGCTCGTATTATCAGAAGAGTGGTAGCGAAACGCAATTATCATTACAAAAGCATATTTCCCCCTTTGAAAGTGGCCCGTTAGTTTGCAGCTAGGCAATCTTTTGTTTATGTATCTGCAAGGAAGATCCAGTTAAGCACATGCCTGATATATTTCTCCTGGTGGCATCGAAGATGATACAAAAGGAATGAGCTAGATAGGACTCCATCCCTTAAAACTTCTTGATGGAACAGTGCATACAGCACCCATATTGTATCTTGTCTTAGAATTACTCAATTTTTTCCATTATGTTCATAAACTTCATTAATGGGTGATGAGAAACCCAAATGCTGTGAAAGTACGAGTCAGTAGTCAGTACCTTATATCAACAAATTTTAGACTCTAATTAAGGCGAATTAACAAAACTTACGAGTTTCTTATTTACTATTCAGAAAAAATTGTAAAGCGTTTCCATGATATGTCCATTATCAGAATGTAAAATTTACAAAAAAATTATTCATGCATTATTCTGGTAGAGATTTATCTCTTTGTTAGCCATATGCACCTGTATAGAGTGGTGAAGTGTGACGTCATCAAAAATCTAATTATAGAATTTCTCAATTTTTTCTTCATTTTCCGAAAGAGAATAAAAAATAACGACCAAATGTCGAGAAAAAAATTGAATATGTTAAGTATTGGCTGAGATATGACCACTTTAATAAATATATGCCGTATGGGAACTCAGTGTTATATGCTCTGGATCCTAATGATTAGGAGCCAGAGCATATAACACCGAGTTCCTATAGGAAATATATTTATTCAGATGGTCATATCTCAGCCAATACTTAACATATTAAATTGTTTTTTTTATTTTCGTTATTTTTTATGCTCTTTCGGAAAATGAAGAAAAAATTGAGAAATTCTAAAATTAGATTTTTATGACGTCACAGCTTCGGTACTCTATGTAATTCTTTTTTTGTAATTGAAATTTTTTGCAATCTGATTTAATGTTTTCATTTACATCTTTTCCTATTCTCTTTTCTTGCAATTTTTTCACAGCATGAGATGCGGAACATAAAATTGATTTTCAGAAATGGCCATTACCACATCATCGTGGCAAGAAGAATTCTGCAGTACTGTTAGTGTTAGTCTTATACCGGGACTTGTAAAACGCCACAATGGCTGCCTCAAAAGAAGATTCACACAGCCAATTTCACCAAAATGTCAAACAATCAAACCTGAAAGCCAATGGCCAGTACGACCAACCGATCAGGCACTCTCGCTCCCATTCCACAAGCGATCTTCCTGCAAGAGAGTTTGAGGAAAGGACGTTAAAACCCTCCTTGTACGAGGAAGCCGGAACGGAGAGTCCGGATGACGCGCTTTACTCGGAAGTGAGCTCGCTAGACAGTAATTTCTCCTGTGCATGCTGCTATGAGCTCATGGTGCAACCCACAACGTTGAACTGTGGACACAGCTTTTGTCGGCTGTGCCTAGCCAGATGGTGGAAGACGTCACAGAAGACTACATGTCCAGAGTGCAGGCAACCTTGGACTGGATTCCCTCATATCAACATCATCATCAGGTAATCAAATAATGCTTGTCTCCTCCTACCCTGCTTTTGCCACTGTAGGTTGAGTATTCAAGTGGTAGTGACAGAAAAGACTTGTTCAGAAATATGACCATAAGGCCTTAACAAAAAAAAGATGTTGTATTGCCCTTTAGGTACCAAAACATGGGTCAGTCGGTCAGAAAACTTTTTTTTTTTAACTTCTCTCTATTTGGACTGATATTTCTCAGTTTTTAATTTTGTTTAATATTTTTTTCTCTAAAAAACAGTAAAAAAAAAAAAAAAAAAATTAAAACCCCATGTATATTACTTTAAAGCTATCCATCTCATTATTGTTTATATCTCCATTGGTTGTTGTGACATGTGCTCTAATTTGTCCAAGACATAGGGTTAGGGTTCCAACAGGGTTTTTGGTTTGGTGTAGAGGTTGGGTTAGGGATATATTTAGTCCAGGGTTGAAGTTCAGAATTCAAGCTTTAGTGGAGCAATTGTCGCTAGAACCTGTGTTTGAAACCCTCCATTGCAGTGTGGGTACACAATAAAGCAAATTGGTGCTGATTTTCCCTCAAACAGCCTATTTTTGTACTTCTCCATCCCTATGCAGGAACACGATCGATAAGCTACATCCCAAGGCCATTCGCAGGCGTACCGCCTCCCTCCAACCCTTCGAAGACACCAAGCTTCTCCAGGAGTTTGAGGAGTTTGGAGAGGCGGAAGAGAAGACGAGAGAATCAGAGACGGCAGGAGGAAGGCAAGACAGACTCAGGAAGGGGTTCGTGTGGGGAGTCCTCACAACACTGGGCCTTGTGTTTGTAAGTGTAATAATCAATATTAGACCAGTTCTGATATACATGTAGTGCTTTATACCTTTGAAAATGTTCTCAACGCTCTTAGGAAAAGGTTTAATAGAAAGAAGCAAATGTCAGCGGAGCAGGTTAATGGTTTTCCTTTTTTTCTTTTTTTCCTTTTTTATGCCTCCGTTACGAAGTAGCCGGAGGCATTATGTTTTCGGGTTGTCCGTCCGTCCGTACGTACGTACGTCCCGTTCTAGTGATTGCATTATCTAAATAACCGATTGATGGATTCGTGCCAAACTTTGGTCATGTATGTATCTTGCAGAGCCGATGAACTGATTAGATTTTGGGGTCACAAGGTCAAAGGTCACAGGGCTCATTATATATGCAAAAACTGCTCATGATCGCGTTATCTCAAAAACTGATTGATGGATTCCTGCCAAACTTTGGTCATGTATGTATCTTGCAGAGCCGATGAACTGATTAGATTTTGGGGTCAAAGGGCTCATTATTTATGCAAAAACTGCTCATGATCGCGTTATCTCAAGAACCGATTGATGGATTCCTGCCAAACTTAGGTCATGTATGTTACTTGCAGAGCCAATGAACTGATTAGATTTTGGGGGTCACGAGGTCAAAGGTTACAGCGCACATTATGTATGCAAAAACAGCTCGTGATCGCGTTATCTCAAGAACCGATCAATGGATTCCTGCCAAACTTAGGTCATGTATGTTACTTGCAGAGCTGATGAATTGATTAGATTTTGGGGTCGTGAGGTCAAGGTCAACGGTCATGCAGCTCATTATGTATGCAAAAATAGCTTGTGATCGTATTATCATTAGAACAGATTGATGGATTCCTGCCAAACTTAGATCATTTATGTCTCTTGCAGAGCCAATGAACTGAGTAGATTCTTGGTTCATAAGGTCAAAGATCATGGGCTCATTATGTATGCAAAAATAGCTTGTGAATGCATTCTCATTAGAACTCACAGATGGATTACTATTTAACTCAGGATATCTTGCAGAGCCAATGAACTGAGTAGATTTTAGGGTCATGAGGTCAAAGATCAAAGGTTCATATATGTATTTGAGAAATTGCTTGTAATCACGATATTCTGAGAACCTGTTAATGTATTACAATTGAACTTGAATTTGAAAAATTTCTTCTGTTTTGGTTTGTAAAATTGCTCTATGACGGAGGCATCATTTTCGACTGTGCTCAGTCGAAGTTCCATCTAGTTTCATTCTTGCCATATCATTCTGAAGCTTTGAAAAGGTCTTCTATGTTTAAGTAGGTCATGCAACATGGTATTTATGATTAATATTAAGAATGTGTCTTCTTATGTAGCACTGCTCATGTCTACCCCACATCCATGCTTTAGGCCACACAGCATTAAACATGCAGAGTAAAAATGTTGTTTATTATTGTACAGTTTTCACATGATATGGTTTAAATGATTTACTGTCAAGCATTGTGTACTGACTTGCATTTTGTCATCTTGTCCCAAATGTGTATTAATGTCTTGCCAAAGGACACTAGTGCCACACTCACCCAGGGCTCCACTAACATTTTTAGTAGGGGATCCAGATTTAAATTTTTAGAGTCTTTAAGCATGAGCCTATGTACACATTTTGAAATTTGAGGGGCCCAGACATAGATTTGGGGCGGGCGCCTGTTAGTGTCTCAACCTGTGGATTGAGAGTCGAGTGAAAAATTACTATACCACTGTTACCACAACATTTCCACTGGCACTTATTGTCAGATTTAAATACTGTAAATTACTATGGTCTGACGATAAATTAGGTTCTGATGAAATGAGTATGTATCACAAGAAAATCAAGCAACTTCAAGAGTAAAATATAGTGTACAAATAGTTTATTTAAGAGCCATCGGCTCAATATAATTGTACATGCAAATAATTGACAAAAATAAAATGATTTGGAATCACTATGAAATTAGAGTATAGGAGTATATCCTATCACTGTATATATCGTCTTATCGGTACTCGATTATATCACAATATATCACTCCATACTTCCCGGTTCCAACATTCAATATTTCCCAAGGAAAATAGATTACCTGATGACCAAGTCATCCTTCGAGGTATAACATACAATCAATCATCCACTGATTCTAGCCCGGTCTTTGTATATAAAGTAAACTGTTGTGGGTTAGAGAGTCCCGATTTAGAGTTCGTAAATACCACCTCTTCCTGTTTCTGAGTAGGTGAAACGAAATACTCTGGTGTATGTAGTAACCCCGTGCGGTGGTGCATGACCTGCTAAGCCTGTCCAACCTGACCGGTGTACGACCGCAACGGTCGTTGACTCAACGACTTGACGCGAGTAGGTTGCCTGAGCGTGTCGCAGGGGTGTAAATCCGTACCGAGGGGTGGGGGGGATCATCGGCGATAGCCATCACATACAAGCACGAGCACACGTGCGCCCACACTAATTTACGCAAACACACAACACACACACACACACACACACACGAAAGAACTCAGTTTCCCCCTCTCGCGCAAAGCGCGTAAGCCTTGACGTTTCCTTTAATTATTAGAGAAAGCAGACGATTGGATGTACTGTTCTCGACTCTTGATTCTCGTCTGAATTCAGTTTCCCATTCCCGCGCGAAGCGCGAAAAGCTTAGACGTTTGATTTAATTAATATCAAAAGAAGACGATTCGTTGCACCATTTGCTACTCTTATTAAGCCCTATTTATCTGAATTCAATTCAATTCATTCAATATAAACAACAAATTAATTCATTCATAGACCTACACAAACATCACATGCATTGCAGCCCTTAAATGTCATCCCCTCGTCCCTTAAGTTTTAGGTGTGAACAAATGACAACCACCGAGTAGGACTTGGGCAATGCAACAGTTACCGTATTATTTATCACTCTCACGTCGCGCAACTACTCTTAATGATCGTGACATACTGTATACGTGTAGGCTATACAGTTATACATACATTACAAAAAAAAAACTCATTTCTCATGCATTATGCTGAAAGTGACACCATCACATTTTTTTTCTTCTTCTTCTTCCTTTTTTTTTTCTCTCTTTTTTTTTTGTAATCTCAGGGGGGGATGATTGTACAGGCCATCCCCCCCTACTTCAAGCCCCCTCCCCCATCCCCCCGGGATTTACGCCCCTGGCATGTCGACTACGAACACATGTCCATTCACTCCATTGATGGTGCCTAGGATTATGGCTACGAGCCCAGCTTGTCCCTAAAAGAAATAAATGGAAACCAAATAGCCAACCATCTACCAAAGTAAACACGATAGCTATAGCGATGTAAATCCTAACAATTTACAACAATCATTTACAATCTCTAGAGCTTGGCTTCACTGACATAAACCACTAAAATAAGCGACATTTATAAATGACCATGTACGGTATCTTTCACCTAGAAATTATAGAATAACACCTATGTCTTTACATATAGTGACAATGGTGACAATGTTAGTGAATAATTTCTTGCGTGCGCTATAACTTTCTCCTTTTTTTTATCATTCTATCACTTTCTCTTTCTGTCTTTCCTTATTTTATCCGTTGTTTCTTCCTTCCATCATCTCCTCTTATGTTATTCTTTTTTTTTCTTTCTATCACTTTCTCTTCTGTCTTTTCTAATGTTATTCTTTGTTTTTCCTTCTTTCACCTTCTCTTATGTTATACTTTTTTTTATCATTCTATCACTTTCTCTTTCTGTATTTCCTTATTTTATCTTTTGTTTCTTCCTTCCCTTATCTTCTCTCATGTTATTATTTTTTTATTTATCATTCTATCACTTTCTCTTTCTGTCTTTCCTTTTTTGTATCCTTTGTTTCTTCCTTCCATCATCTTTTCTTATGTTATTCTTTGTTTTTATCATTCTATCACTTTCTCTTTCTGTTTTTACTTTCTGATTTACGCTGCGATGTAGCAAGATGAAGTCATTATGACGACGGGTCACTAGTTTTCTGACAAACCCCAAATCATCGATGAACGGGTTCGCAAATTTGGCCTGACGACGCCAGACGACCCGACGCATGCGCAAATCGCTGAAATGACGTCACATCTACGCACAAATCATATATTTTACCTAACTCTATGGCTCAAATCAACTAACAGCGCTGTAACAGCATGCGTGTCTAACAGCGCTCTAACAACGCTTCCTGTACGGTCATTTTACCCGTGCTGTTAGTAGCTGATTTGTTAGTGACTTGTTAGCGCTAACAAACCTGCTACTAACAGCATTTCTGTGCGGCCCGCCCAGCTCTACTAGAGACCCCAGTTAGTTGACCTAGTAAATTGCCACCAACAACATCTATTCAGCTAACACCTGTCCATTACATTCTCTGCCTAAAAAAGAAATCCCAGTCACATTGTGACACTTAAGTCTGTCATATAGTGATTCCCATGCTGTTACAGTATTGCCAACGCACAGTAAAAGTGCAGTCATCTTCAAATGCCTTTTCCCATGACTTTGAAGCCACCTTTCCTGACCCATATTCTATTCAGTTTCATTTTTTTCTCCTCAAGAGATCAACAGATGAAAATACATATATGAACAGACAAATGTATGACAATACATAAGATGAATTATAAAAAGTGAGGAAGGCAGTGGCCAAAAAGGAAACAAATCTTGTAAGAGGCCAACTCTTTAAAGGTACTATGTCCCATTTGCAGGCCCCAAAAATGAAGAAGTTAAATTCCAACTGCATTTGAAAGATAATACTATTAGTTGTCAAATCGACTTTAGGGCTATAGAGCCCAAAAGTAATAGTCTTGATTTTCAGACAATCGTACTGAATGGTCATACGTTTTATGCTGCGCAAAGATTCAATCAGTTTAATCTTGGCCATCACAAAAAGTGGGTTATTGATGTAGACAAATGCTCATGTACCCTTTACAACTCTTTTCATGTATGTTATTACCAAAGAAGAAAAAAGCCAGTCAGTCACTCAATAGTGTCTGACAGTGAAGTCTAGCAAGTAAACGGGTTTCCTTGCATAATTTGAATATGAGGACACTGCTAACGTTTAAATTTCACAGATAGGACATACATGACATATTCATAATTCCTGCAAAGTTCTACAGAATTTGAGGTTGGCTGCAAAAGGGACATAGTACCTTTAAGAAAACAAGATATACAATATACAACATAAAAACACATAAAATAGGATCACAACATAAGATAAGAAATGAAGTAACTAACCTAACAAACAAAAGAGCCTAATATTGAATCTAATATATAGATAATAAAAATGCTTTATATTTCCTTTTAAAAACAGAGGCATTAATTCCTCTTCTAACTGTTACTGAATATAACCTCTTTTTTTACTCTTCTCGACCATCTTGCAGTTTTTCCAGATCCTGTTGAATTGGAACAGGCAGGACAGTGAGATGTTGGTGTACAAACCCCTTTCAAGATGGAGACCTGCCGACGTCTCACAGTGGCTATCGGAGCTAGGAGCCTGGGCTGCCGATGGCTACAGTAGGCAGTTCAATGCTAGTGAAATAAGTAAGTAGTCCGCCCCCCCCCCCACTCAGTGTTATTTAGGGTACGCATATGCGTGTTCCAACCGACCCCCCCTTTTCAACAAAAGTCCGGTGTGTAAAGTCAATACGGCTCGACCTTTTTCTTTTGTATACAAGCCTTTTTCAGCACCCCCCCCCCCCCCCCTTTTCAGCAAAAGTCCAGTGTGTAAAGTCAATACGGGTCGACCTTTTTCTTTTGTTACGAAAAGGACATTTTGGCAACACACATGGGGTCCGTCCGTTCTCGGAATGGGGGGGGGGGCCAGGGTAAGTAGAAGAGTATGTTTCTTGAATTCTTGAGCACAGACTTTATTGATTGACAGATAATATTTTCTCTCTCTTAAAAAAAATAAAAATCAGACATAGTTTGTTCATGTGACTAATTGCCTTGTGTAACTCCATAGTGGCAAATCTTTATCTTCATTTAGTTTTTCTGAGAAAAGAGGTTATATTCAGGAATTGTTTGAAGATGAATTTATGTCTCTGTATTAGCAGAAGCTACAGGTCTTTTATTTGCTTTGTGACTTGAAATGACTTCACTGATAAATGATTGATTGGGCATGTATTGTAAACAATTTTGGGGGTGCCTTTTATCACGATGTGCAATCAGTTTTCAAGGTCTTAGTTGGCTACCAGGTGTACTGGCCTGTAATGCATTTGTTTTCAGCATAACCACTCTGATAACTCTCTTAGAAACTACAGGAGTGTTGATTCCTCTAGGTTAGCACATGCAGAGACTCTAGTGTCATTTTGAGTATTGCAGAATGATCTGCCCTCAAAAACAAAGCTCCTTGTTTTAAAGGTAAAGACCAGTATTGGAAACGCCCCAATTTCAAAAAATGAAATGGAAGCTCTCATTACCAATCATGTGAAAGAATACATTTTGACTAATACATGATGATAAAAAATTTGCCGGGAAACCGCCTACTAATTCATATATTTGGTAAATTTGTTTCTCTCATGGACTGTGAGAGATATAGGGTAGTCCCATATACATCTTTCTGTGTATAGTGCCTGTAACTTTACGAAGAATGGGCCAAATTTCTTATCATTTTGATGATTCCAGAACCTTGCAGATGCTAGATGCTAGATGATCAACCTTTTCTGATCGATTCCACAACGTTTCTTTCACAATGCAATCGCATGACCATAACTGGTCTTTACCTTTAAGATTGATTTTTGGGAGAGAGTTTATTACCATAAATTTATCATTGCTTCATCACTGTAATTCTTTATGTCTTGTCGATGAGTTAGTTTAATTTTTATTTGTAAGCTCCATGGGGTGCTACTTAAAGAACCCATCCTACGTTTGAGACTGGAGCTCTTCAACATTTTCCAATGAAATGATAATTTCAAAAATATTTCAAATTTTATTGTTGCTTCATTATTTTAGAGCCCATCTGTACTAGTTTACAGGAGTGATTAGATCACGCTGCAAGGTCACTGACAGGTGGTTATCTCATCAAATCAGCTCTCAATTAACATCAGAAAAAGAGGATCATGGGGGACCAATGGTCACCGATTAGGCATTGTTTGCTATATAGAGGGCGCAAGTAGCTATAAGTAGTGCAGTGGGGCTTTAACTTTTTCTGGATTTTTTAACTTCTTCTCTCTTCTTGTAGATGGGGTGCTCCTGGAGGGACTACAGTCTGAAGGAGAACTGGAGAAGGAGCCGTTCAACATCAACAACTCACTTCATCGGCAGGCCATCCTGATAGCCCTGGAGAAGGTCAAGCAGCTCGGTGGAAAACCTCCAATAGATCTTTGGGAGTTCAAGGTAGGAGGATTGTTTGCAGTCATATTCCATTGTCCTTCCTTTTTGCGTAACAGTGTCTACACTTTTAGACTATCAATTTAGGGTCACTCTTAAAGATAAACTCCAGTTCTGGTAAAAAAAAGAAAATTAATTCTCACAGAATCAAACAAAACTTACACTGAATGTTCAAGATTACAAATAAATGACATGTGCCAAACAATTTTGGAAGAAAATGTATACTGGCTGAGTGATGAGCATAGAAAGACAAGGAAATCAAGGTAGTACTATAGCCCCGACACCATGTGTGTTGTCCCATATATAGCTTTCTGTGTACAGTGCTTGTTACTTTACCAAGACTCGGTCAAATTTATTATGATTTTGATGACTCCAGAACCTTGCAGTGCACACCAATACTTACCTGCTACATGATCAACTGTTTCTGATCCTTTCCACACCTTTTCTTTCACAATGCAATCGCATTACCAGTACTAAAGTTTATCTTTAATGTGTGTTTTAACTTATTCTACAAAGTTCATGGTATGTGATAGAATACAATTCCAGGATTTGATTTCTTCCAAGATTATCATAAACTTTAATCATCAATTATCCCATCTTTACTCTCTTGGTAGGCGTTGCATCAAGGCCTGAGCACTTTCCTATCGTACACGGTGCGAGAGTTCCCTCGTCTGACCATGACCGGCATGTACATGTTCTACTATGAAGATGTTTTCCTTCCATTCATCCATCTCGTCTGCCCAGCAAGGTCCGCCGTCTCTGGAGAAGCAAACATCATTGTGCAATACTATGTAAGTCAGGGGGAAAAGCATTACTCAAAAAGCAGAAACTCTTGTACTAAATATGCAACTTTTACTGATTGATAAAAATTACATTTTCCTTTTTTTGCGGTACAACAATACATGATCATGAATTGAAAAATGTTGTTGTAACGGTAACGAGTCAAGACCACGTCATGAGGGTTTAACAATCCAACATTAATCTGGAATAACTGAAAAAGTTATGGTTTTGCAATAGCTTTATGATTTTGAATGGTAATATTCTCAAATCTCAAGTTTTTGAGAAAGTAAAACTTTGTAATGAATTTAATGATTGATTGTTGATCAGAAACACAACACATTTATTTCTTACGTCATAGCTTTCCACGCAGGTGTAGCTATATATGTGTGGAAGTAGAGAGCACGATTTTGTTCTGAGAGCTCCAAAAGATTTATAGAAAATTTGAAAAAGCACCATTATAAGAAGAATGAATCACAACAAAGAAATCTCACTTATATATTAGCAAATCCAAAAGAGCCATCACATCACAAAAATGATGTTTTCAAATGATGAATGGCTTTCCAATATCAGAGCAGATTGACGTTAAAAATTGAATACTATGCAATATGGCCATTGAAATCGATATCTGTAACTGAAAAAAAAAGTCTTAATGACAATAATCCAAATGAAATATTTATAATAATCTACTCCAATAGACCAGTTCACGGTTAGCACATTACTGCAATGACCCCGACTATCCACAGATCTTCAAAACATGAAGAGGTCCCACTTTGTACATTTTGAAATAATCACTCCTACAGCAATGGATGTGCTATATAAATAGCTATTGTTTCCCCTTTTCAAGAATACTTCCACCTGTGTATCATGGAGTGCACTGAATGTGCATGAATGAATAATGATTACATAACTTTCATGAGCACGACAGCACATATCCAGTATTTTGTCTCCGTGTATTTCAAATTTGTTCTGCAATGACCTTTATCTCCTCATACTCAGACTGCAATTGTGAACTGGCTTATTGAAATGTGCCATCAGGTTATCGCAGGTCACTGTTGAGAACTTTGACCCACTTTACCCAGGCAACAAAATCTATTTCTGTAAACAAGTAGGAATGCAACACCTGTGGATGTTGATTTCAGATCCTGCCTGAAATGTACATTTACAATCTATGAATAGATGAGAATGTCAGGTGGCATGCCAGAGTGTTGATTGCAGTGCAGTGCTTGTAAGACAGGAAATACCATGCATGTACATTCTGAAATCTACAACTTTATATATCAGCTGACCTGGATGCCTCTACCAGTCAAATTAAAGTCATGAACTGACATGAAGTGACCCCGTTTTTCAGCTTCATGTGTAGAAAGTGTATTATGGATTGATGACTTACTGTAGAGCAATGCTATTAATTTCTTTATCATATGTATTGGGGAAAACAAACGGTAGCAGTTCTGGTGCAAAATGAGTTTCTTTTGTACCTCTACATTGGAAAGATGTGTGTTAGAAAGGTGGTTAGCAGAATTTCTGAGTTGAGATTATCAAACATATGATCATTCACCTTCCTTAAGCCAGTGTTGAGAATTGACAACTTTACAACTTTGCTCAGTTGATAATTTGGTCTTAAAATTACATACATTCTGTTAGTGATAATCACTGTTTTTCCTCCTAATTTTCTTTTTATGCCCTTCTATCTTTTCTTCTTCTTCCTTCCTCTTATTTATAAAAAAATGTTGTTTGTTTTTCTTAAATTTCATTGCCTACAGTCTAATTCTTTTCTTACTTTTCTTCATTTCATCTTCTCCATCATGTCATATTCTGTCGATACTTCATTTGATACATCCATCTTCTTTGTTTTACTCATATCCAATCCATTTCCAACCTTTCATGTCTCCTTTTTCAACACCAGAGCGAAGACATTGCCTGGGAGCAGTGGGTGGAGTTCATCCCCAAGTTCCTCTTCCTCCCGTATTACCTGTACGCAGAGTTTGCCTGGAACTTTGCCGATGTAAACGCCTTGCCCGTAGCTTTCACCCTCGCAAACTGTGCCTTCCTCACCATGGTGGAGGCCAAGGCTATCACCGCTTTCGTCAGGCGGGGCGTCAGGTAAGCAAAGCCGCCAACCAATCCTATTTTGGAGGAATGATTTCTATGTTTTTGGCCTTCAAGCTAATGTTATGAACGCTAGATTCCTCTCTTTTTCTGAAAAAAAACACATCTGTGGAAATAGTCAATAAAGTAGACTTGAGAGATTGCTAATTTATGTTGTGAAAGGTTTGCAGGTATAGGTAAGTCAGCTGAAGAGGGCGCTATTTAAACAGTCTCATCAGAGCCATCCATACACAGAGTTTGGCCAACTCGGTTCGAGTTGGACACAATATGGCGACTACTCCTTTGTTAGGCAAGCACAAAACAAAAGAATATACGCCATGTTGTGACCCAGTGAAACCAAGTTGGTAAAACTCTGTGTATAGATGTCTCTGAATCTCATGTTGTTGGTTGAGAGAGATATTACGCCACAAAGATTGCTTTGTATGTCATTTCATGAAGCCTCAAATAGTTTCCTCTCATAGAGAATGCATGTGGGAGGGGACTATTCACATCTCTATGACTGTGACTATCTATTTGTGTCACAACTATTTTACCCTAATTTACTGTGACCAATTTTAAGATTTGTAATGCTCTTTGCAGAAGTTCATACTGGCTTTATGTTAGGGGATATTCAGTGTCAATTACACAATCGAGGGGATTCCTGTTACCTTTCATAATTAAAGGGATCCGGTAACTTTGTCTCAGATTCTGAATTAAAATTCTGGATTTAGCTCATGCTGCAATGATAATTATAAATCTTTATGTCAGTCAGGAACCCCATGACTTTTACAGGCTGATCGCCTGTCTGATTATCAAGATATTTATGATTGGAATTTCATAACACTACAGTGTATTGGAAAAAACGAGTATGGTAAAACCGGTCACTCAAAGATGTTTACTTTTTTGAGACACTTCTTGATCATTTTGAAGCGAAATCTTTTTAGGGCTTCAATATTACACCATTTCACAGACACTGATAACACGTAGAGCCGTGCATCTCAGATTTAACATTGTTTCACGATTCCCTTTAATTGTGTACTTGGATTTGACAGTCATTAATCAATCAGTTTTTAATACCTGTATACTCCTGTTAGAGTAGATCCTTTCCTTCCACACGACTTGTCACCTTTTCTCTTACTGAAAATTCCTTATGAAGCAAATCTTGCTAATAAATCTGGTATACAATATTTGTTAATGATAAAGAGCTTGTCTTTCATCCCGAGTGTAAAAGGGGTTCATGAATTGTAATTGTTAACTGCACTGATGAAGATAAACTACTGATTTCACTCTTTTATGTTGTAGGTCACTACGAACCCCACATCTTCTCAATTTGGCAAATCCACAAAATAATTCCTGATAGGTTAAATTATTGTGAAAGTGCAAATCTCTGATTCGTAGACATGTTTTTCTTTCTACACACACACAGGACTACATTCTTCTCCTTGAAGCGTCAGACGAACATGTTATTCGTCATCTTCTTCAGTTGTCTCCTCTGGCCCATCATACCCACTATCCTCACAGACCTCATGTTCTACATCTCCATGTATTACTCACCTTGTATCAACTTCTATGAAGTTTTCATGCAGTGAGCCAGAAGCAAGAAGGCCGTTATTGACATTGACAATATATAGCTCTTATGTTCCTAATACCTACATCTACCCGCTAGAAGGCCATTATTGCCATTGATGATATATAGCTCTTACAGGTTTAATACCAACATCTTCCCCGCTAGAAGGTTGTTACTGCCATTAACAATGCAAAGATATAAGGTCCTAATACCAAAAAATTGTTCAATGAAGAGGGAATAATTCTGAATCATGCAAAAGCAGATCTATATCTGTGTGTTATATTTCTTGTGGGTATCCATTCAGAAGCCTGTATTGAAATTTTCAGGTGAGCTTGTGCTTGACTTTTTTTTCTTCTCGGAAGCATCAAGAAAATATACATTGTAGAAAAGAAATCAATTTGCAAATTTTTTAAATAATGTCCCAACTAATGGGTGCTAAACAAAAGAACATTGGTGTACTTAAAATTGTATTCCGATACTTGTGCGTGGAGCTTGATTTTTATCATTTTGTCATATCTGAACTAAACATATTTTGTATCATTGAAGACTCATTGTTACTAATTATCAGAATATACCACCTCACATATCATGTCATTTCTTTAGAACTCTTTCTAGGCTACAAACAGTATCAATTTTGTTACAGTCTTCGAGAATAGTTTATTGTGATCCTATGTGGACAAGTTGAGAATGCTGATAAATTCTTGGATTGATCGTGAGACCAATGAAATCTGAGAACATGCTACCCTCTGTCAAAAGATTTAATGTAGCTAATTTTGACCTTTTTTTTGCCACATTTGTATACGGAGAGATGGTAGGATCGAAAAAGATAATTATGCAAGGATGCATAGGAGAGGAGATAGAAAGGAGCTTAGATGGACTGTCAGAAGTAGACGGTTAACAGGGGGGGCATTTCACAAACTTGTCATCAGTGATAAATGACAGTTTTTGTTATAAGCTACTGAAATCCTTGCTTCTGATTGGTTATCAGCAGATTTGTCACTGATTTTTGTCATTTGTCATTGAGAAAGGCTTTGTGAAAAGCCTTCCTGGTCTACCTCTTGTCTGAGCTCATCGCATGGCTCAAGACAGGAAAATCTGTAGAACAATCATCAATAATAAGAATGGCAAAGGGTCAGTCATGACTTATTGGACCACGATACTATGGAAAATTATAGTTATGTTATGAGGTTACATTTATCTGCTAAAATATTCTACCTTATGAATATTAATTCAATAATGACCTGTGTGAATACATGTACCAAAATTATTATATTTTTAAGCAGAGCACTGGTATGTAATGTACATGCTATGTTATAGTTTTGTATTACCTTCTGTTATTATGTTTTAAAATATTTTGTGTATTTTATTAAGCGATCACCTTATAGTTGAACCTGTATCTTCTTTTCTTGCTGTTTGTTTTCATAAAAATGAAAAGTCTACCCCTGCAAACTTGCTACTTAAATACATAATTGCCCACATACAGATAGAAAACATAAGCGTACCGAGAGCTGGTCACTTTTGTTAAACTTCTGGGGGTTGTTTCACGAAACCAAGTCCATAACAGTCGTATCTTTGTCCGCGACCTTTAGAGATGTCAGGAAGCGGACAAACTTTTTCACACAACCATGATAAGCAACACATTCATGATTTCACTACTATCGGCTAAAAACTAAAGTCTCTGTCTCGATCCATCAGATTTTTATCCTGGATTACCAAGATAGATTGAGGCTTAATTTCACTCAAATTGTTTCCAAAAGTAAAAATACAAGAGAGTGTCGGGGAAGTTGTCCCTTGCGTTGGCAAAGACGGTTTATGAAATGCTTAGCGGTCAAGTCGAGTGACTGCGTCAAGATGTCCTTGATCTTGTACTCATGACGATTTTGTGAAACCACTCCCTGCTGTCCTCACATTTATTTCACATGTAGTGGTTCATTAAGCCTTTGACACTCAAGCTCGTATCATGTATAGTAATTTCAATTTTTATCTTGTTCTCTTTCTTATGTCAAACATGTTGATTGATTTTTAAATTAAACTAAAAACTTGAAATAATCATCTGATGAAAATACAGGCCCGTCAAATCACCTTTTGTCTGCTACAACCCAGAACTCGTACTTTTACACAGATTTAATACTTGCCGGATTCTCAACAGACACATTGTGTAAATAATATATGTGGTGAAATCAAATTATAAATTAGAGATTTTATCTCCTTTTACCTTTTTCATTTGTAAACTAGTTGAAATAATGTTCATAAATGACTGCAACTATATTTACAGTGCAAAATTATATTTGTTATTCCTATGTTTATTGTTAGGATTTATGAATTTAGTTAGATTTCAGCCTCTCGGTTGAAAGTTGTCATTGTCAAGAATCTATTTCCTTTCATTTGTAATTAGTTGAAATATTGTTCATAAATGACTGCAAATATATTTACAAGGCAAAATTATATTTCTTATTCCTTACTTTTATTGTTAGGATTGATGAAGTCAGTGTACTTCAAAATGATGCAGAACCCTATATTTGTTTTGCTAAGTTATATGTATATTGTCAGTTTCTTTACCTGAAATTAACAGACATGAATTATTCCCACAATCAAAAAGTTAGTTTACTTCAAAATGATCTAGAACATTATATTTGTTTCACTATATAAGATGTACGTTTTATATATATATAAATTGTCAATTTCATTACTTGTAACAACCATACATACCAGTAAGTTATTCCCGCATATATGCTTATGATATTCAGTTCCATTTTCAAAGATCATAGTGCAGCTAGTGGATAATATAGCATTAAATTCAGGGTCTTATCTATTTGTAGGTGGGGAAAATACTCTCATTGACTCCTATATATATATGAGTTATATACCACTAGTTGTACTTCCGTATACATGTAGGCCTACCTATTATATGCTAAATTCTCCATGAATTATTCAGATGCTATGTACGCAGTTGAGATGTATTGAATGTGACCACTGTTCAGCATTTATCAAATGTGATGTTACCAAAAAGAATAGAAGCTTCTATGAAGCTACAAAGACAGATGTAATAGGAAATGTTTACCGGTAGACCAAAGCATGGGCATTAAGGAGATTTGTGTTTATTTGGCATATCATTTTTTTCAAATTGAAAAAAGGATTGTTATGAAAATACAATAAACATTGGCAGACATTGACTCGGCCAATGATGCTTTTACGATATTTGAAGTGTTTAGGTGACTGGAATTGGCTTGCTGTGTAACTATATCCTTTAAGATCTGAAATGGTTAATCCCAATACAGCTATCTTCTTCATTGAACTGCTTACCGGATAACTTCTATAATGTGTTACAAATTTAGATTGTTGTGAGGATACTTGCATATATTGGCTTTGCATTTAGATCCACTGCATGTGACAAATGTTTTACACTTCTGATCTATGATGACTTGACGTTACAACTCGTATCATATAAAGTGATTCTACAGTTAAAATTCTATATTCTAATATTCTAAAAATAAATATTCTATTAAGTCAAGTAAGGAATGTCAGTTGAATATTAGCAAAGCTTACAGCACCGTGTATTACTTCTCTTTAATATATGTTGGATTTTTTTCCTATCATTATTGATTTAAAAGAAAAAAATTTAACACCTAGAAAATGAACACAAACTTGCAGTGTCCATGCACATAATGAAGGCAATATTAGTTTGGAGACAGAAGGGTGTTAATTCATAAACTTGAACACAGATTTAAAGCCCTTCTGGCTCTCAATAGCTGAGATGGGATATCTAAGATTGGTTTTGCTTTTTCACCCTTTGTAACTTGGGAAGGACAGAGCTAGAATGCTAAATATTAATACAAGGATCAAAAGCAATTTACTTTGTATTTACTCTCCTAGATCATGCTTATACGTATAAACTCTTGTTTGATTTTATCATTTTGGGAATAAGTTTGTCTTAATGAAGATTGGTTGGTGTGTGTTCTTCAGATTTTTAATTTTTGTTTGTTAATGAAAAAATTACTTATTGTGAGAAGAAATCATCTGATATTGTACATGTCCATACACATACTTATTTTTCTTAGAGCATCTGGTATATGTGAATAAAACATGAAATGAGATTTTAAAGTAATATTTGATGTGTATTTTATTTCATTTTGTGTTCTGATTTCCCACGGTTTAATTTCATTTTATTTTATTTTGTTTCTTGGGAGGGAGGTGCAGGGATGCTCCATCCACCTTTTTTTGTCAGTTATGGAATGGGGACACAATATGTCCTTGTTAATTTGCATGTATTTATTCTTATGTTATTTCCTTATTTTGTGTATTTATGTATTATTATTTCTTGTTTTAGTTATGTTCTATTTATTTATTCATTTATTTATACATTTTAGACCCCCGAGGACAATACCCCCCCCCCCCCCCCCCCCCCCCCTCATGGACAAACAAGGACAACCACACCCAGAAGATTTTCAGGTTTGGCCGACAATAAGACCATGCAGCCCCTTTATCCCTTTACAAAAAAAATCGACTCCTTTTTGATAAGAGAATTCCCACCTCACTTTAGACCTAAAGTGTTTCAATACGAAACTAGTAAATTACAGCGGTGGGCATAGAAACTATTAATTGCGGTGGGCATAATTATGTTTAATTTCTGTCAGGTTTCGTGAAATACTGTTGAATAGGAAAGAATTACCCACTGTAGGCTACTAGGCTAGGCTACCCCATTATACATTCAAGAGAGCATGGAGATGGCTTGCAAACTCTGCCCTGTTCATATATGCTAGTAAGGAAAAGGCACACTCCCCTAAAAGAGCAGACGTTTTTTTTTGGGGGGGGGGTGGGGGGGGGGTATCAACTACTACCACGAAATGCACGGGTGGAAAGTATGATTCGAGTGCAGGCGAGTTAAGTCTGGACGAGAGTGTTGGGATTTTTTTATGCAAGTCTTTCGACGGCCCAAAAATTTACAAACTGGATTTAAATGCACTGAAAATGCCAGGCGTTGTCGACGTTTATCCTCTACCGCCCCAAAATTGTTGCCAGCCTGGAGTTGCTCGATCTTTGCTTTACAGTGGTTCAAGATTCCAAGGGCATCAGAAGAGCAAAGGCAATCGTTACGATGTGGAAGTCGAGTTGCAAGTGAGTATCCCGCGGGAGACGGGTAGAGTGTGTTTGTTGGCATCCGTGCCCCGCCTACAGTCGGGCGTAGGAAGTACACAGTGGAGGCCTCGCCTCAGTCCTTGCCGAACACCGATTGTGCACAATTGGGCATGCATAGATCTATGTGTGTATTGAATATTGTCCCCCAAATCTTTTAATTCCATTAATTTCTTATTCCTCTAATAATAGTCTTAATTCCCTAACCCATTATTCAAATTCTATAAATGAAGATGTACTTTTCTTGATCATCTTCACATCTCCATCTTTCTTCCCATTTCTCTACCTCATCAGTTTCTTTCTGTCTCCATTTTCTGCAATATTTTCACATCTTTCTTTCTTTGTTGAAAAATTAATGTTTGCACTTCCTTGTAGTTGTACCATCTAACAGCTTCCATTTCCTTCCATACTTTTCCCTCCTCATTCGTTTCTGTATGCCCTGGAACAACATGAATTATCTTTAAAAAATATATGGGAGCCATCAGCCATGAGCGATTATTTACAATTTTACACTGACATGAATCCACCATAGTTGCATACAATTTACAATTTTCTCACTAATGCAGCATGTTGATGAAGAGAACAGCTATATGTGTGGCTACCTGAAGATCAAGGGCCTGACAGATGAGTTCCCTGTTCTAGTCACTTTTTTTGAAGGAGAGATCATAGGAGAGAAATACCCATTCCTTACAAGAAAATGGGATGCAGATGAGGAAGTTGACAAGAAACATTGGGTAAGTGAGAGCAGCTAGGCTCAAAATCATGCAGCAGATGATACATCCTTGTGATAATCATGTATAATCCATTACAGCAAGGATATAACTTTTTCATAATATTTTTCAGCTGTGATTTCTGATGATGTTAAAGCCACATGAAGAAAGATAAATAGTGGTATGTGAGTGTGAGATCTCTTTAACATAGTTAATAACTAATAATTACCATAATGAATAAGAATATGTACATAATTTGTGGTAACTTGAAAGTTGAGTAATGTAGCATTGGGTAAAGATGAATTTTTATCCGTAGTCTCAGGTCTTGTTCTAAATTATTTATATTGCTAATGCTCCCTGTTATTTTGTATGATTGTAATTTTATTTGTTTTGGATTTCAAGCAATTTTTCACTGATATTGCTCTTGAAAGATGTTTCTATTATGTCCTAAAACTAAAACTTTTGTAACAATCTTCATTGCCCATTTGCCTCTATAAGCCTTAATGCACCACCAAATAAAAACAAATGTAAATCCTTGACTCGTATTTGCATATTAATTTGTTTAATCTTTTGTATTTTGATATTTGAATTGCAGGGTCAGTTTCTGTCATTTTACCAATACACCAAGACCTTCAACCAAGACAACTTCAACTATGATGCCCTGAATAACACAGATTATGTCTTCATGAGGTGGAAAGTATGTATTTTTAATTTTTTTTTCCTCTCCTTTTTGTTGTTGATGTTGTATATTGTGATGTTGGGCCCCTTTATGACACTTTTGTAAAGTTTAGTACAATACAGCTCATGTTTCACTGTAAAAATGTAGGAAAAATTATGATTCAACCTATCAATACAACATCTTGGAATGTTAGAAAGAGTCAGCTGCTGTTTGCATACATTTATACCCGAAGGGGTAAAAAATACTTGTATCTGTTGGTGTTTTATTGCCTTTCAATGTCACTGTGTATTGTAGCAATTTAAAGTGAAAACAAACAAACAAAATAATAGAAAAATGATTAGCAAGTATGCATGCACATATCTCATTAACAAGTCAAAGAACACTCTTTGTTCAAATTGTAGTAGCACTAGCATGAAGCAACAGCAGTTTTTATCCTTCTCTCTCTCTCTCTATCTCTCTCTCTCTTCCCCTTTTTGTGAATGTAGGAGCACTTCTTGGTACCTGATCACAAAGTAAAAGACATCAGCGGAGCCTCTTTTGCAGGATTTTACTATATTTGTTTTCAAAAGTCAACAGCGTCGATAGAAGGCTACTACTACCACAGAAATTCAGAATGGTAAGTGTTGTTCTCAAAAGGGACAAGGATGACCATTTTAAGGCTTTTGCATGATGCCTTGTCTTACTATCCTATATTTTAGGCTTTTCCAAGGGTTAACATACAAAAGGTGTGGGGGCCACAGCATAGTTTTGTTTACATCGATTTACAATGAGCAAATTGCCATCAAGTGTAAGATAATGACGTCACCATCCGTGTACAGTAGTCTTTAGGATGGCGCAATAGCTCGGTTGGTTCAAAACCAAGTCAATGCGCTAGTGTCCTTTGGTAAGGCATTAATCCTCATTACCAGGTCCCTCGGAGTAGACCTTAAGCCGTCGGTCCTCTGGTTGCTTACTAACAAGCATTTATGTTTTTTAGCAGTCGGGTAAAATAACTACCACCACCACCAATACGTTGAAGCAATACAAGGCTGGTCCGTTAGATGAAAACCATTTGGTGTCCTTTATTGGGTATACATATCTGTGTGCATGGAGCTAGGATGGGGTACTGTAGGAGTATAAATGTATCCTGGACAGAACAGTTAGTCAATAAAAGGCCATTATCTTCAATTCGTATTGAATTACATGTATCTTTTTATTACTGGTATAAGTTTAAGACCTAATGGCACGTCAAGCAGACTCATGAATTCACTTTCTATTGGACTTCTATTGTACATTGTGTACAAACAAATAATGTTTTCATTTTGTTAAACATGAGCATTTCAATTGTTCCAACGTACCTTTTCATATCTCATTTCTTTCTTTCTCATCAAACTCTTTTCATCTTATTTTGATTCTTGTGTCATCCCTTACAATCTTATTTCTAATTTTTCCTCTTCAACTCTTTCTTCTATGTTTCTTCTGTTCTTTCTATCTCACCCATCTCTCACTGTTCTGTCTCTCCCCCTTTCTCTTTCTCTCTCTCTCTCTCTCTCTCTCTCTTTGTTTTTCTTCTCTTATCCCTTTATCTTTCACCATCTTCCCGATCATGCAGGTACCAGAGTTTGAACCTGACGCATGTAGCAGACCATAGTGTACCCATCTATTTGTTTCGGTGAGGCAGTAGCAGCCATATAAGAGTTTTATTTATTCTAATGCACCATAGATTTTGTAAATACATTTTGTCTTGAAATAGGAAACATGTATTTTATATTTCTAAATATCGTGTCCCATTTTTTCTCAATTTCAATATGCAGCATCATTTTGGGAAATGTTTTATCGTAGGAAGGGATTATTTTATTTTGTGACTTGAGTAGATGTATATGCTCACTACATCATAAGATCTATTTATTTGAATTTAAGTTATTATCAAGCTTAATGTAAAAAAGTGAATTGCACAAGCCGATGTTTACAACGTACTATTCTAAAGTAAGAAACTTTTTGTGAAAGCGGCAGAGCTCTGTGAAGGTAATTAGGAAAACAAAAACAAGTATCGGTACATGTGCGATTACTCTTCAAAATCTGGTGAGAACTCACTTGTTTTTAAAGTGATTTTGCTTAAACTTCTGAGGTATGAGAAAAAACATGCAGTGTAGTAAATGAATTGGTGTAGTCATGGCCGTTTGTTTTCTTCCATGAATTTATATTGAATGAATGTAAAATACAAATTCTACGCATATGGCGTTACTGAATTCATCATAAATTCAAAATGAATTGTAGATGGGTCATTTTATTTACTATTTAATATCATTATTATTGTTTTTTTAATGAATTTACTGAAAGAAGTGCAATTTTAATGTTGGATTTTGTAATTATTCAACAAGAGTTCAGCTCTTTTGGTTTGTTGTACATGTATGTGTGTTATGTTATTATCTTATTGTGCAGTTTACAGTGAAACTCAAAAGTTTTACACACAATGAATTGAATCATTTCGTTTGTTGAGGAGTGTTTAGTGTGCCTATGATATGCAATGTGTCTATATATTCGTAACAAAACGGTCCAGAAATTATTCACTCATTATTTCAAATAAATGTATGCAAGATTTACACGAGACCAGAAACTAATTACAGAGCTGAATAAAGCCCCAGAGATAGTATGAGTTACATGTTGAATGGGAGAATAGATGGTTACGCAAATATATTAAAATGCATAATCAAGAGATGAATTATAATATACTGACAATCTGTAGCCAAAGTAAGAGTAATCTGGTACATGATCTACATTTGCCACACTCCACCCAGGTGCAGTAAATGGGTACCGGGTAGGAATTTATTCCTTGAAATGCTAGAGCGCGGTATGGCAGCCGTGCTAAAGCCAGGGTAATAATCGGGAGCGCCAGGAGGGTCAAATCTGACTGGCGAGAGCGCTATACAAGAACCCACTATTATTATTATTATTATGTACCTATATATTCCCATGTACCAGATGCCCATTGCTTGGAGAGTGTGGATATATTAAAGTTGCTCATGCATTCGTATATAGAGGGCAGCACACAGACGTACGCCCAGGAGTGTAATACCCGTTGACTCAGTGTTATGTAGTGATCGCCAAGTTGCCTACCGGTACTTCACGAACGACTACACTGTACCCATGCAAGAACATCTTTAATATTTTGTGACAATGCTTGTTGGCAAAGCTGTTTTTGAAGGCATGCATGATTCTCTAAAATATTGTGCAGTTTTGGCAAACACCATGTTTCAAATAAGAGTGTCAAAATGTTGTATATGTACTTTTAAGTATGTGGTAAATGTAAATCGTACTCTTCAGCAAATTTTTGACAAAATAATGGGAAGTGACAAAAAAATACCGACATGGATGTACATAGATGGGACACTGCTTGTAATCTTGAAAGATCTATGTTCTTCTTGCACTTTATCTATTAATCGGACTAACCTATGAAACAATTTTGTATCACATTCGATTTGCAAAGCTCTTGTCTCTTTGAAGTTAAAAGCAGCATACAGGATTACCATTAGATGGTTTCTTACAAATTAGTTAACAAAATAACAGGAAAATATGTGGAATTTAAATATTGTGTCAAAAGTAGAGTGTCGGTTTTCAGAAAACTACCCTCATTCACAAAATGTGATTTAAATTTTTTCTCCAGTCAATGGGCGCATCCTTTAAATAATCATCTCAAAATTTAACAGAAAAAAATTGTCCCTTATAGAGATTTAAGTAGATTACATATTTTTAATTACCGGTATAGAAAAAACTATAGATATCCTTTTTGTTAGCTGTGAAATGGTTTAAATCTTCATTATTCATCCCGTGTTGCATTCTCAATGAAGTTGAAGTATAAAGGTTTAAAACTGAAAGTGCGAAATCTTGAAGCGCTATGCATTATGTGGATGAGCAGGGTTTTATTTGATTTGCCAATATTATTTCCTGAACCTACAATGCATTAAATATAATTTTTTTTTTTCCAGCAGAGTATTGAATAATATCCTGGTCGGTATTGTATATGATGTTGGTTTACGATGCAAAGGGGGAATGAAATTGTTTTTAAATAAAAGGAATCGAAAAGGAAAGGACGGTCTCTGATTTTTTTTCTTCTACCCGTGAATACAGTACAGTATAATTAGTTGGAGGAAAAACAAGGGGAAATGAAAAGAGAGGGAGAGAGTGAAAGAGAAAGAGGATGAACATTTAAGAACGTGTGTATGTGGGGAGGGGGTATGGTTTTGTGTGTGCTTGAGAGAGGGAGATACAGAGAGAGAGAGATGGAAGCGGGAAGAAGTACAAAGAGGAGAACGGAGACAGAACATGTTCCTTTTGTTTCTTATTCTACTTGTTTAACTTGTATAGTTCTTTTATTCTCATCAATATGCATTCGGCCTCTTTATTTTCAGTTACTGTTTACGGTGATGCATTTCAACATGGAAAGTCTCCCCGTTTGAAAACACAGGCAACATTACAACTCGAATATAACATTTTAAAAACTCAACGGAAAATTTGTTTGTGGAATGCAAACGAAAATACTGTTATTTATTCTGCACTTCAAAACACATGCATGCACCACTACCGGTAAAATTTAACAGCAGAGCAATATATATTTTAGGAACAGTACACAGCTGCGCTATACATTATTTAATGGCATATGTTCAGTATGCTTGCTAATAATTGTGCACTGCGCTTTGTCGAATGCGAGATTAAAGTCCTTTTATTAAAAATCTCTTTTATGTACATACGCGTGTTCAATCTTCCTCATAAACTCCCCCAAATAGGCGGAATATTTACCCGTCGATTTTATCACTAATTCCTCCGATTTATTTCTTACTCCTGTCTTCTTTCACCCTATTTTCCACCATAAATCCGGTATAATTTATTTTCTCATTATTACCGCCCCCCCCCCTCCCCAAATAAAGTTCCTTCATTATGTTTCCTTCCTTTTTATAGGGGCACAACACGTTATTATCACAACTATCAACTCTTTCTACTCCCTTCTTTACAAACAGCTTTCGATATAAATGCTACAAAATGAACGTTAACTAAATTTACGGTTTGATTTTAATCAAAACGAATTTCTGGAATCTCCTGTCTTGCAAACAGCACAGGAAACTGATTGCCTTCACGTTCAACCCCCCCCCCCCCCCCCCCCCACCCCATTTAATACCCATTAAACTAAAATTCGATCCGTAACATTTTAAACTATATCCATAAAGACCCTTTATATTACAGTCAGAAATCTAATGTACAATGCCTGGCACCATCTTTAAAAGGTAAACACATATTTAAAAACTGATTTACGTATCACTGCTATGGTTTCATTTGAAATTCAAGGTTATGCTTGCCCTGTTCTGCCTCACAACTAACCAATCTACGATACAAATTGAGCATATTGTGTGAGAAAGCATACTTTGCAATGAAATCAACTATGCAGCAAAATTTAGGGGAAACTGTCACCAAGAAATGAACCTTTTGGAAAGCTCACCCGACTGTAACATAATACCTCTAATGCTTATTTTGTCAAAATGAAGCTTATTATAAGATTGATTATCTATTTGTATTAAGGCATAGTCATGAAAGTGAAAGGTAGAAGGTAAGCATATCATAATCACAGAGTTAGACTATTTTAAAATTAACCTGACATACTCAAAGCAAATAGGCTTAGATGAAGCATCAACGTACGTGGCACGAAAAAACGAGGTAAAATTCACAAATTCTAAATAACCCTCGTTTAATATCATCGACCATCCGGTTACTGATAACATGTATCTCTTTCATTTGCGGATACATAATGATAATGGTATTGGATACCCATTTCTAGCAGTCAGAGAAGAATTCGGGAGCAAATGGTTTCGGATACCCAGTGTCCACTTCATTTCCTCCGGCACTGATGCGGAACACTTTCTGGAGCTTTACGAAAAAGAAATTCCCTGCAGAAAATGGAGAAGAATAAAAGATAAAGTGATTGAAAATTATGATATTGATTCAAAACTTATATATATTTCGTCAGCTTATCTAGTTGGCTTTAACGCTATGACATAGATCTTAAAATGTAAAACGGAAGCAAAAAAAAGGAGCAAATGGAAAATAATAGGGAAGAAATACTTTACCTTCATTATCCGAGAAAACAAAGTTCGGTTTGTTGACCTTTGAATCATATTCCGTCGAGATGCTCTTCGGGTATCCGTTGTCTATTCGTTTTGATTTCTCATTATACCGCCAAACTTGTGGGCCTTTAAAGAAGTACGTCTTATCTATACATATCAAATAAAAGATGGACGATTCATTATCATAAAAACATATCTGGGGAACTACTTAATCAATCATAATTCATTAAAGAAAAATATTCCCAAAGGCTTCATATAGATCAATGTGACATTTTTCTAGACGGGGCAAAATGATATATAAATATAGTAGTTAAATGCGAACTAAATAGCGTCATCAAACATTTTACGGTAAATGTGCTAAAACAGAAGACTCTCACTGAAACTGAGAGCTCTAGAAAAACTAAATGATCACAAAATGATGTGATACAAAAGAACAAACAATTTACTATCACGAAAAAACGATCAAAGGTACTGGGGTAACTACATCGGACAACCTTCCCTTAACAATGTAGACCCCAACTAGTAACCCCTATTGGGGGGTGCTGCCCGTGAATTAGTGCTAGAACTAAGGACGTGTATTATTATCATGAAATCGTATTACATTTATTCATTTATTTATATATATTTTTTTTTCATTTCATTGTTTTAATTAATCAACTTATTCTTTTATTTATAAATCAAATTAATTTATACATTAAATTCATTTATTAATTTATCGATTTATTAGCCTATTATTCTATTAATTTATTCATTTTCAAAGGAAAACCAAGTCTTTACCTTGTCGTCTGTCATGGGCTGCCCCTGCTACATCTTTCTCCACGCCCCAGTCTACTATCTTAATGGGGTGACCTTCAACGCGCTTATTATCTTGGAAAATAAACATCTTTTGATCTGAAATGGAAAACATAATGAACTGTCATAGTTTTGACGAGGAAGACATATAAATCAATTAATATTTTTATGAGGAGAAGAAAAAATAAGTTAAAAGGATATGATATGATTAATATATGCTTTATTTAACGGAGAAATGGTGTTCAGGAGGAGGTGGATGAGAGAGAGAGGAAGAAAAGTATCAGAGTCGAAGTTGTTATTGGTAGTTGCAGTGGTGGTGACGGTGATGACGATTATAATGATGGTGATGATGATGATGAAGATAGTGATGAAAATGGTGATGATGAAGATGAAGATGAAGATGATGATGATGTTGACGATGATGGTGACGAGGATGGTGAGGGTGGTGATGATGATGATGATGATGATGATGTTGATGATAATACGGATGATAATATGAAAGGTACAGCGGATACACAAGTAGGAGAAAAAATAGAGGAGTAGAAATAAAATGAGAAAAAAAAGAAGAGAAAGAAGAAGTTGGATAATCATTTCTTCTTTAAATTTACAGTGACCTAGGTGACAACGAAGAACTGCAGAATCAAGGATAACATGGGGGAAATTGTGTGAAAACCATCAAACAATTCAAACGATGGAATCGAACATCGAGGTGCTGTTGTTGTTGCTGGAGATGGTGATAAAGATGATGATAATGACGATGATGATGATGAAGATAGTGATGAAAATGGTGACGATGAAGATGAAGATGATGATAATGTTGACGATTATGGTGACGAGGATGGTGAGGGTGGTGATGATGAAGAGGATAATAATGATGATGATGATGATGTTGATGATAATACGGTGATGAACATAAACGGATGAACGACGATTAGAACACATTGTCATCATTACCTCTTAAGAAAACCACGTTGCCATCTTTTCGTTGGTAGACAGCTGATATGTCATTGGGTAGTTTAATGAAGCTGTCTTGAGCGTTTTCTCCCTCAGCCGGTGACAGGAGCTCGCCAGAAGACGATACCTTCCACAACTTTCCACCCTGTGAAAAATAAGATTTCTGTGTAATGTGTGTATAAATATTTTTAAATCGCATGTTGTTGTAGTATGGTGGAAACATTGTGGAAACACAAATGAAACAAGATGCATTCTAAGTGACGGCGATAAAGGTGGGGAGAAGGGAGTGAGGAAGGGGTGGGAGTGAGAAGGGAATGATGATGGGGTGAGAGAGAGAAGGGAAAGAGAATGGTGAAAGGAAGAGAGAATGGGGAAAAAGAGAGAGAATACATAGATAAAGAGAGAGAGGGGAAGAGAAGGGAGTGGAGAGGGACACACAGAGAGAGGGGGTGAGAGAGAGAGGGAGAGAGAGAGGGGGGAGGGAGAGGGGGAGAGCGAGAGAGAGAGAGAGAGAGAGAGAGAGAGAGAGAGAGAGAGAGAGAACCGGGGGCGGGGGGCTCCCAACATCCTAGAGAACATGACTAAAAAGTTCTGTTAAATAGTTGGATATTGAATGTAATCACTATACACATTCAGCCTTGAGCTCAAGTCCATCAATTAGAATAAATCGGGGAAAAAACCCGTTTTTATTCCCTCTGGTATCTATCCAGACTTTAATGGTAATTCCATGTAACTATCTTCTCTCTGAATGGATGGACAATCTGCGATGCTATTTGGGTCAACTGTCACATTTGCCGTTGAAATCTACGTAATCCAACAAGTCATGTACTTGACCCATTTTTGATTTTTTTTTTTTAAAGGTAAAGTAATATCGTTGCCGATCTATCTTCTATGGTCTTTTTTTATAGTGACAGAGGCATAGTCAGGGGGCTCTGGGCACATGCATGGTCTCTACTATTAATTGGTGCCATAAGGCTTTTTATAGAAATAAAAAAAAGAAAACGTGAATTAAATTCGGAGTAACTAAACTCTGTGTTTAATTCACTTTTCAAAATGTGTAAATATTATTAATTTATTTAAAAGTAGGTCGCTACACTCCCTTTCATTTATTTAAAGGGTGTATTAATGCTTCTTTAGAAAATTGGTGATCTTAACCACCCCTCCCTTTCCACATTAAATACAAAAATGAAATACTGGTTACACGCTGGTACAGGGGTGATTGGATAAAGCGAACATGGTATTTGGACAGATGATAAGAAAGTCAAAACGCATAAAGAAAAAATGAAGAATTTATGTCATAATATTCGCTTCCTAACGTGTAAAATTGTTTACATGTTAATGCGACGAAAATGAAATTGTAATCCAATGGTCATAATTTTATCAGGCGCGTACGCAGGATTTTTTCAAGGGGGGGGGGGGGTTTAACATTTTGAAATCGGGCCGAAAATTTCGCAATGACTCAGCCAGCCGCTGCATAAGCGGGGGGGGGGGGGGGTAAGAGGACACTTTTTTAGGTCAGCCATTGGTATAATTTTTTTTTTTTTTTTTTAATTACCAAAGGTTTTTTTTTCTTCTCCAAAATACACACATAAAAAATACCAAATACCACCCCCCCCCCCCCCCCCCATGCGTACGCGCCTGGGTCATATTGAACATACGTGGAAAAGGAAAAGCTCATCGTCGACATAGGTGGCGGCGGTGAAAGTCTGAGTACAGATGTCCCCCGTGACTTCTCCTTCTCCTCCTCCCTGGCCTCCAGAAGGCTGACGGCCACCGCCGCCCCTTTCCTTGCCCGTGTCGGAGTCCGTGTCAGTATCCGTTCCTGTTCCGGTGCCTGTGCCCGTTCCCGTTTGAGTACTTCCATCTTCACACAAAATATATCATATCGAGGGTGACGAACTAAATAAATAAGCTATAATTATTTATGATCACTGACGGATAATCAGCAATCGAGTCATCGCGCAACTATACTTCCAAATATCAAGAGGTAGGAGCCACTTCGTTGGCCTGTGGTAAGTTCCAATAGACTTCTTCTTCTTCTTCTTCTCCTCCCCTTCTCTCTTTTCTTTAGTTCTTTCTTCTTCTTGTTCTTTTTCTTCTTCTTCTTCTTCTTCTTCTTCTTCTTCTTCTTCTTTTCTTCTTCTTCTTCTTCTTCTTCTTCTTCTTCTTCTTCTTCTTCTTCTTCTTCTTCTTTTTCTTTTTCTTCCCTCAACCCCTGACGGATTGGGGAGGAGGTCAAAACAGGCCCGTGCACCCTTTTTAAAACACCTAAGTGACATAACTTTAGTAGACAAGACCAAGAATATGCCCCGTTTTAGGTAGTGGCCTATTCAAAGAATATTTTACATTTTTGGGGTAGGGACGAGTATTCGACGAAAACGAATATTTTATGGTTTTGCCGAAAATATTCCGACAAACAACATCAATGATTACAACAACCATAACAACTTCAACAACAGTAGTAGCAAAAAGGACAGGTTTCGGATAGAGGTATCGTGGTCGAGTTGATATGTCACCGGATCACAAGGTCCGCGGTTCGAGTCACGCCGCGGCAATAATGTCCTTTAGAAAGACATTATTAATCTACATTTGTCACACTCGACCCAGGTGAGGTAAATGGGTACCTGGCTGGAATTAATTCTTTAAAATGCTAGGGCGCCGTAATGGCAGCCATTATAAAGCTGGTGTAATCATTTCCAAAGCTCTTTGAAAGCGCATAGAGAAAATGTGATATTCAAGAAATGTGATATATGATATACAAGAACCGAATATTATTATTAGATAGTCGAAACATCGAATATAATTAGAGCGCGCCACAAGGATTATACTAGTTGGATGCCTAGATCTTTAGCCTGTGAAGGGGCAGATGCTCATATATAACATTGATGACAATTACGGAAAAGCTGACAAGAATTTTGGAAGTAAGGGAAGAGGCGTCATATAGCGATGCCCTTGCCGATACATGTTTTCCGACTTTTTTCTATAAGATGTACACGTTTTTCAAAATCGGTTATTCAAGTAGGCCTTATCATAATTACGCAAGCTTCATTCGATCATCCAGATTTACTGTTAACATAATCATTCAATTTTTTCAATATAGAGTATTACATATTTTCTGACCTGGCGACATTTATTTATGCAATCAATTAAAGTCTGCAAGAATATCTATTATGATTCCATTGCAATAATTTCTAACATATTATTATATTGCGCGATCGCTTCCCCTCCATACACAACCATTGCGACAAACATTCAAACACACAAACATTCATACATTCACTCATTCTTTAGGCTTTATGATTATTTTGTTTGTCGTTCTTACCACAAACGAAGTCGGGATCTTGGGCATCTAGATAATAATGAAAGTAAAAACAGATGAATAAGACCATTTACCATTCTATTTCATCAATCATCATGATTATTAAAATGAATATATAACTATGATCATTACATTACTCACTATACAAGGAGTATATGAATACATTGAATATATATTATGAAAGAAACGATTAATAGGCGCAAAAATATTTATTGCGATTATTATCGTTATAAATGACTATATTAAAACCATGGTCCTATTACTAACTCGAAAGGGTATGAATGTATAAATTCATCGAACTTATGAACGAAAGTGAACAAACCACCGGACCTTGGGCCGTGTTGTAAAGGGTTCGAATCCCTGCCACAGCACTAACATCCGTTGGAAATACTTTAATCTACATTTGCCACTCACGGCCGAGGTGGAACAAATTGAAACCGATAGGAAAAAATATAAAATGTTTGAGGGCCTTTTCGGTGAAGACCATGCACCGATAGCACTAACGGTAATAATAATATTTATCTCTTTGTACCTGCAAGAACAACGCTCTATATTATAGGCCTAATATATTTTTATTATGATTATAACTGCCGGTTTATACGGTCGCATGGCTGCAATCATGCATTGCTGGACTGTTCCATTCTAAAGACTATTATTAGAATAAATACCCTCTTGGAGTCTATAAACACAGATCTTCTTGTCCCGTAGAGATAAGCCTATATAGTTCACAAGCGGGGCTTTCAACATAGACCCCTCATTTCACTCTTCATTTAAGTTAAACCTCTACTATTTACTGCATGAAAAATAATTGCTTTGATGTACTCACTTTTTCTTTAAGCCTCTGTTAATAAAATTCATGTATCATTTATTTTGTGATATCAATGCAAACTGTGATAATGTGAAATATGCAAACAAAAATGAACTAAACTGAAAACTGAATAATGTAGAACAATATGTTCCGAATGCCAACAATGGTAACTTACTGCATACACCGCACATAAGGGGGCACCCGAGGGGCACGAAATCGCCGAGAGAACAAGAATCGGCATCAGGCCAGCCAGGGTTTGCCCCACAAGTTGGATCCACGTCCTCACAAATTTCTGGAAGATGGAAAGCAACATTTGTTGTGATGTACGTTAACATGTGCAAAAACGTGTCACGCAACCATAACCATTTCATCACGATTATGCCATCATCATCATTTCAATTTATTGTCCAATGTTGGAAATTTGTTTTACCCACATTTTACAAACGTACAACGAATCAAAATAAGTTTACATACACATAGAAATTCGTCAGAATATTGCTGTACAGAAATTTTCTTACGTTATTATAAAACAAAATAGGTGAAAGGTTACACAAATCGAATTACAGAAATATAGAAGAACTTAAAATTCATGTAGCATTTTGATTGTATTTGCGGATCGAGAAAGGCCGGAACGAAAGAATTTAGAAAACGTTGAGTGCGACAGTTTGTTGAACGAAGTCGTTTACCAGAATTATATAAATACATCATCATCACACTGATGTCAATAGTCACACTAATTACCATCATCACCATCGTCAATTTTCCATCGTCACATCAAAACCGTCGTCACAGCATGAAAATCGTCACATTATCAATGTCTCCCTTATCACCGACGTCACACCATCGCCATCGTCACACCATTACCGTCACATCATCTTTCTATCGTCACGCAATAAACATCGTCACGCCATCACTGGTTCCCTAATAGCCTCATCCCATCATCAACGTCGTCATATCATCAGCATCGCCGAATTATCGCAACCGTCACACCTAAACATCGTCACATCATTTCCTTCATCACACAATCAACATCATCACCATTGTCACATCATCACCGTTGTCAAGACTTATTGCCATTATCACATCATTTCCCTCGTCACACAATCAACATCATCATCATTGTCACATCATCACCGTTGTCAAGACTAATTGCCATTATCACATCATTTCCCTCGTCATCACACAATCAACATCATCATCATTGTCACATCATCACCGTTGTCAAGACTAATTGCCATCATCACATCATTTCCCTCGTCACGCAATCAACATCATCACCATTGTCACATCATCACCGTTGTCAAGACTAATTGCCATCGTCACATCATTTCCCTCGTCACACAATCAACATCATCATCATTGTCACATCATCACCTGTGTCAAGACTTTTCGCCATCGTCACATCATCCCCGTTTTCACATCAACTTCATCATCACGCCATTTTTATCTAATTCACACCATCATCTCACTCTTTCAAATCATTGCACAGCCATTGTCACTGGTATAGGACTCTTTTAAAAACACTTACCTGCACAATTAACTCCCCTGAACCCGTTTGGGCATTCGCATTTGCACTCGGTGTTCAAATTGGCGCAGTTTTCACACACCATCCTGCAATCTAAAACACGAAACACGAAGAAGAATAACATTTGATTTTGTTTTAACGATCTTAGAAATAACAAACCCGAAGAGGATTAAAAAAAAAATGCTTTTCAAGCTAATCGTATTTCATCGATCGCCATGGGGAATAGATTCGAAAAGATAACGTATATTACAAATTATTCATTGATCCGAACCGAGGTGCAAGTTCTCCAATCAATGACGAAAATGCAAACATTAGAGGTAGAGGTGGAATAAAGTAAACTTATGTAAATTGATTGTCCTTGGTGGTCCTGGGGGGGGGGGGGAGGGGTATTTGTCCTAAGGGGTAATTGTTAGGGGTGGGGGTAATTATCCTAGGTGTTGTCCTTGGGGGGGGGGGGGGGTTCCGGGGGTGATTGTCCAGGGGGTAATTGTCCTGATATGGTACTAATAATAGTACGTCATAGGGGAGTTGAGCATCCCTTGGATCAATTTATGTTCGAAAATATAAATGTAGCTTTCATTATTATTATTAGTCAGAATAAAATAAAAGTTTGCATTAGAACTTACCGCATTCCTCGGGGTGCTCACTGCAAGGGCCTGATGTAACAAACATAGAAAACAAAACAGATTTAAATCCAAATGCAGCACAATAATATTGACCGTACATTTTTATTGTATGTTTAAACAAACTGAACGATAGGACCCTTAACATTAAAAAAAAAGAGATTGAATACTCTCCTTTTTATCATTATTATAAAGTTAACGCATTTTATGCCAGATAGTGTTTGATGTTTGAGAGTTTATTTCAAAATAGGCAAGCCATGAACAAGGCAAATTGAAGTTAAAATAGGAAATCCAGATCCAGATTATTTTGTTCATAGTTATAATGCAATCAGTTACCAAGGAGGGGAGGAAAAGTCAAGTGTGGTCTAATTACGTCTCGTGCTAAAATATCACTTTTCCAGTTTCGACATCACCATGATTATTAGACATTTTATAATGGGATAAATGGCATTCCATAATTGAAATGTACTAATTATAATCAACAAACTGAAGTATATAGGTCTAGACTAATTCACTGCCCAAATCTGAGGTTACGGTCGCCCAAATATTGATAATTTCGAAATTCTCAAGCGAGGTGGGGGCTGCAGTCCCCTAAGCCCCCTCTCGCATCGTACATGTACGTCTGTAATATAGAGGAAAAGAGTGTTTTTTTGTGGGAGGGGTACTTACGACACAGTCCATCGAAACACTGTGGTTAAATCTGAGGTTAGGGTCGCCCAAATATTGATAATTTCGAAATTCTCAAGGGGGTGGGGGCTGCAGTCCCCTAGGCCCCCTCTCGCATTGTGAGTCTGTGATATAGAGGAAAAGAGTGTTTTTTGTTGGAGGGGTACTTACGACACAGTCCATCGAAACACTGTCCGCTTCCCGAATCACATTCTGTGCAGGGATCCCCCATCTTCCATGGTTTTTCACCTTCCACGTTACCTCTACATAAATAAACACAAACCAATTAACATTGTATTTAATTATAATTATACAATGTATCAAATTTACTTGACAACACAAGGAACCCATCATAATCATATTTACATTATGTTAATTCCATATTATGTGTAACATCCATGCGTGTTTAATCCTTCTTCTTTTTCTTTTTATCTCTCTCTCTCTCTCTCTCTTTCCCTTTCCCCTTCCTTTCTTTCTTTCTGGAATCGAAGGAAAAACAGAGCCACTTAATCAATCCAGCCGAATTCTTTTTGAATAATTATTTGTTCATGTTATATATTATTTGTATATAGGCCTATGTTTGTATCCGGACAAAAACACAAACCAACCAAGTCAAGCATCTACATAAAACACAGCGTAACAAATGTTGAATTTATATATTAGTAACAATTAAATCGTAATTATTAGATTTTGCCCAAAAACCTGATTTGAAGAAAAAAATTTGGCCAAAAAAATGTGCCCCGCTCTTTAAAAAATGGATCCTCCCCTGATCCAGTGTACATGCTTAAATTCTGAATAAAAGAACAAAATGTTGTAATAAATACTTACGCTGGTCCGTAATTGCAGACGATGTACCATGCATTGGGGAAAGCACCCTGTAGGTCTGGGCAGTAATTTCGACCACATCCTACCCTCCTACTCTCAGCCCAAGTAACCTGTGGAACGAAACATACAACATGATAATATATTATTACCGTCGAGTTACTTATTATATTCAGTATATAATATAGCATCGAGTTTGAGAGGGTGATTAGATTAATAGGCACACGGGCAGTAGCGGATCCAGGGGGCCGGGGGGCCGGGGGCCCGGGCACCCTCCCTTGGGGAAAAGAAACGTGTAAAAACACGTTAATTTTACCTCTTTTTTGGGAGATGGGCCCCCTCCCCTGGCGCTCATGGGGAGGAGTGCGATTTTTCAAATTTTCGAGGGCCCCCAAAAAATCATGTCCAATCGTGTACATTTAGAAAAAAAATACATACATTTTAGCACAAGATGAATGGTTGATAAAAATCATTTGTGTAGTTGAATAACCCTAGATTTTATTTAGTTAACGCGTTATCATAATTTTGAATAGTACAACTCTTCTTACTTGTGTGTAATGGCCGCATTCTCCATCGCAGGAGTTATCGGCCCAGGTATAGCCCGCCTTCTCCTCGTACCACTTATTCACGGCGTCCACCCCCGTCTTGGTGTCGCCGCTCTCGCCGCCCTCGGCAAAGATATTTTCTCCCACCGTGTTGAACTCGCCAACGACCAGGCCTTCGTTGACGTGCTCGAACTTGCAGGAGTCGGCGAGCGATTGAGCCTGGCTGGCGAGGGCGTCGTCCCAGTCCTAAACATGCGGGAATAAATGGTGGTGTTTCAGAAAGATCACAACACGTTTACAAAAATAAGATGATGTCTTTATATAATGTATGTATTTAATGCTTCCGTTTCATTCTTTACATAATGTGTGCTCATTCAACAACAGAATGGGCATACTTTTTTTAAACAAAGTATGTTCTCGACAACCTGAAAGCTTGTCCGCACCTTGCCCGACATAGTAAGAAGTAATGTATGATGACTGTATTCAAGGTATTGTAGTTTATTTATAAATAACTGGTTAATGAATAACTCATCACTAGGTCCCCAGGAAATAGTCATCCATAAATTTGAATGTATCATTAAACCGTTCTATCATAATTCATCACCCGGCATCACTGTCATGAAATGCAATTGTTGAATTATGTCCTATAGTAACAGGTTTGATTGTCATTGTATTTTTAAAATGCTGCTCCCTTTCTTCGCTCCCACCCCCTAATTGTCACTCACATCCTTTCATTAACAAAAATCATTCTGAATTACAACTAAAGACTACATTAAATCTAGCTTCATGCTTGAATGCAGCCCTATATAATTATATATGTCTTACATTTCTATTTAGGAGCTTTATTATACAAATTGGAATTAAATTCATATTCAAGTGCATACAAATATATGCTTGAAAAGGTGATATAGAAACAATCAAATCAAGTAAATTCCCGTTGATAAATCGATTTTCGTAAATTGTTTCAAACAGTGGCATATCTAAGGACGGAGTGGGGCAGAGGCACGTGCTCCCAGGTGCCATAATCCATTGGTTTGAAACTAAGTCCACATCTTGCCTAGATTCATATTCTTATGAGGAGCGATTTTAAAGTTATTATGTATATTATAATTCCCTCTTTGAAAAAAAAAGTTGTTATACAGAAGGATTCTTAGAAGTTGCGTAAAACATTTTACCCATCTCATAGTTATAAAAGGATTCGATTGAAAAAGAAAGTTGGATAAAAGTATTCAAACGAAGGATAGGCCAATTTAATAAGTCGTAATTTACCGATAAATCGTAAATTTTAATTCCAAAAGTATCTAGATCTAAAATTATTGCAATGTTTATTTGGGTTGCCCTGAAATATAAGTGTACCACAGGGGAAAATCCATCTTACAGCTCCTTGGTCGAAATTTGTTATCAATATCATTTATGACAAATAGCTTACGATGTAATTCATATCGCTGGCCCCCGGCTCCCTTCGGATCTCGTTGTGCCTATCGACAATCGCCGTCTTCTCTTCCCCATTGAAAGGCTGCCCGGCATCAGCTAAAATTGCGAACAGGGTCAGGAGCGCTAGGATCCGCGGCAGGACAAGGCCAGCGAACAGCGTGGCCTGCGGTGTCATGGTGAGACGATGGTAGGTCAAAGGTCACTGTCAAGGGCTGACAATTACGGAGTTTATCAACCTGGCAAGAGCGGGAAATGGAAAGTGAGGAGGATGAGAGATGGGTAGGTAGGGATGAAAGAGAAATGAGAGAGAGAGGGAGAGAGGGATAAAGAGAAAAAGAGAGGTCGAAAAGTTGGTTTAGGAGAAAGGGGGTGAGAGGGTATGGGACAAGAAGAGAACATTGACAAAACTAGATGGGATAGATTTAAATTGGACGTATTACTATTTGACATGTCTGTGAAGTGGTTGCTCACTTGGCCTTCATTTCATGTTAACGCCAATATCATTCCCAGGTTCGCAAATCGTGGCTCATCTTACGAAACCCTAAAATGTATTGTAAAGGAAACCAGAAGCCTCACAAGTCTCCTTTCTTTTCTTTGATTCTTTATTGTGTTTTTATATATCACAGAATCGAAAAAAACAGTGGTTACAAAAGAATCTTCAGGAAAAACCCTCACTATCTCATGACAAAGAAAATGAAAATCATGTCTAAACAGAAGGAAAACTATTTTATAATCATGAATAATCTTGTTCGAAGTGGTTACTATTTTCAAACCGTTTCCTACGTTACTGCGTTTAAAATATGTAAATAATATTTGATTTATAATCATATTGGACATGCTCGGGCATAAAGACCTGGAAATGGTCTTCGTTGAATCCTGGTGAATTTCTTTTTTTCTGAGTGCGTTAAAAAAACAGTTGACAGGGAATTGCATGCAAATCACATTCGTAATTCAGTAAACGATCAAGATTATTGATAATACAACTGAGTAGACTACTCAGTTGTATTATCAATAATCTTGATGCCACAATACTTCTGATGGATTTTGTCATATAGCTCTCAAAAATGTGAAATACATTTAGTACAACACAAAGCAAGGCAACAAAAAACAAAAACAAAATAACAAAATAAAAAATAAACCAAAAAACAAACAAACAAACAAGCAAACAAACAAATCAAAAGGGGGGAAATGCATTCCAAAAGATATTATCTATATGATTCTGCTTCACAGACGAACATTTTTCCCCGACCTGGAATAGAGTTCTTTTAGCAAGCTCACGTGATTGGGACTGACATCCACCACGCAGGCGCGTACACAGGAGGGGGGGGGGGGGGGGGGGGGGGGGGGGGTTAACCCCCCCCCCTTTGGTATTTTTTTATGTGTAACCCCCCCCCCCATAACCCCCCTAAACCCCCCCCCCTTTGATTTTTCCCATGGCTGACCTAAAAAACTGACCTTACCCCCCCCCCCCCCCCCCCAACGGAGCAAAATGTCAAATTTCCAAATTTCGAGACCAAAAAAAAAAAAAAGTGTCCTCTTACCCCCCCCCCCCCCCCCCCGCTTATTCAGAGGCTAGCGGCCCGATTTATAAATGTTAACCCCCCCCCCCCTTGAAAAAATCCTGCGTACGCGCCTGCCACCACGTGTTTATCATATAGTCCTATTGGCCTTGGGTGCTTTTACAACTGGAGGGATGGGGTGGGTCTAAACGTCTTAAATAAAGTTATGTCTTTAGGGGATGATCTGTAGTCATAATCCTTCAGACTGTCTGGGATCACGAACGGATGCAATAACATGAAAAATATTCTAGCATTATCTAATTCTTTATATAGTGTTGATTCATGTCTTGTACCAAATGACGTAAGTGTTGTGTCGAGGCTTGAACCAACGGCTTATGTATCTCGCTTCAACCACGGCATCTCGATGATAGCATTAACAACCGAGTGAAACAAACAACATCAAAATAAGGTCATAATTAGATGCTGCGATTAACTGTGACATACTTATCGACGAGAAAAAGGGGAAAAAATCCATGCAGAAATAATTTTCTTCCTGGTAAATACCTCTCAAAGTAATTGGTCAAGGTGAACCGACAGCGGCATTTCGTTTTGTGAAGATGAAAGCAATATTCAAGAAATGGAGAGGTCATTATCAAACAGATTGTTCGGTGGATGTCAACAACACTGTTTATATATTTTTTAAAGTATACTGTATGTGTCAAAGTCATTGTTGTTTTTTGAGGATATTCGGCCACCACGCTGCCATAACTGATACTCTGGCACTTTGATGGCAATGAAGAGGTGACGAGTGCCCGAATACCGTTTTTTTGTTTAACTTAAAATTCCCAAGGGTTGAACTCACATGGTTTTCCCCACCTCGTAATCAACAAAAACACCTCAAAATAAAGATGTTAAATTGTGGGAAACTTTAACATATTTCATACATGTTCATACCATAAAGCAAGAGCTTTATTTCGATCAGTTCATTAATATAGTTCAACAAGGAGAAATCCTTTGCCACGATCTGTTTTAGTAAACAAAATGGATCAATTCGATTTGTTCCTTACATTTTTCTACCCGAGTCCCCCATGGCTCCAATCCAAGAGTTTAAAGTCCCTCTAAAGAGTTGGGAGCCCCAAATTTCCCAAAAATTTGATTGCAAAATTTTACTTGAATTGTATCATTATGTGACATTGGATGTCATTTAAGATACATTGTCTTCTGCAAAGATTTCCCCCCAAAATGTGTTAGAAGACAAATATTGATAAAAGTAAACATAATTTTGGCTTTCTGTTGTACGCTGAAAACCTAAATTGTTTTGAAAATCCTTGCCGAAATGTGTTTTAAATGATTTCCTCTTTCACAACATGATACAATTTAAGTGAAATGTTACCATCAAATTTGTGGGGCTCCCAACACTTTGACAAAAATACCGTGGCATCGCTCTTATTGGGTTAATTCTCTCCGACAGCACTGTTTTCCCCGAATATTACTCCTTCTCTGATAATTCGCCCTTTGGTGAAGTGATTGCTGACAACGCTAACTTGTAAGGATTATACAAAATGATTAAATTATATGATATTTGGCGAATTTATCGTCTTGAGTTACATCTTTGAGTCGCTGCTGAACCAGCAACATTTACTCAGGAACTCGCTGGGGTGACTTCAGCGTTAGATGCCGCTGGGAAGTAGGTCAATTTCACGTGGATTTTCAAATCTGCGTCTTTACAGGAAATTTAAGAAGAAAAATGCTATGAAAAGTGTTTTTTCGGCTCCTGTAAAGCTCCAAAATGGAAGTCAAAGTGGGATAGGTATAAGTTAATAAACAGTGACACCGAGTAGTAATTTTGCCAAATTCGGATTTCTAAAGAAAACTATCTGATACACCCTAGGCCCATATATTTTTGTTTATATAGGTCTGTTTTCGACATTAGTATTACGTGACTCCAAGAAATCGCATGAGATTCAAATATCTCTTGAATATTTTTTTTTTCTCGACGTGATCTGGGGGTATAATAATTAATTTCATGTACGTTAAAAGAATACATTAATAATCAAATAATCGATACGCAATAGAAATGACTGTGGATGACGTACACAAAATCGAAATTTTACTTCAGGGGGTTCTCAATAGATTTGTATAAAGCGGGCCAAAATTATTTTTTAAATTACTTTGCGGGCCTCTCAACTGCCAACGTAGGGAGGGTCGATGGGGCAATTTCAATATTCAATGCTCAATAATTGTTGGTATAATCATTAATACTTTTTAAATTTCTGAGAAATATAGTCCTCTACTTTATTTCTTTAAAATAAAACATCTGAAAACATACCTTTTCGATTCTTAATTTGTCCTTATCTAGACTATAAGGGACAGCGCCTTTAATCCTCTGGCGCTGTATAAATCCAATTATTATAATCATAATTATCATTATCATTAATATTATTATTATTATTATTATTATCATCATCATTTATTATTTATTATCATCATAACACACGTCATGGTAGCGTGTGGTGATGGCTGGCCTAATTATGATGGACTGTTTGCGAGTCTGCGAAGCGAGCGAGAGAGAAACAAAGAGATTTTCATTCCTACTAATAAGTTGATGCTGATGCTTTAGTTATCGCTTTCAAACATAAATAACCAAATTTGTTTTTGTACTGGTTTAATCTTTATATTTTAGGCGAACCACATCAAATCGTGTCATGATTATTCAAGAACGACGGAGTTTCTTAATTCTGTGGATGAATGTAGAATATTAAAGTAGATATTCATTAAGTTTAGAAACTAACTTTATTTTCATTATTGCAAAGTTGAAACTTTGATTCGACAAAGTTATCAAAATTCAGTGCTTGGAAACATTCGAAGTAATGACTATTATAAATCACAAAACGCTTAAATACAGCCCCGGCATAGCACATGAAGAGCTCTCCGAACGCTGCTGACAGTATGGACATGATTTGCACAAGCAGACGATGTCCCATGACATATCACACATTTTCAGTGCCTGTGTTTTCATCTTCTCTTGAGTTCTTTCTATTACTTCACTACCGTCAGGCTAAATGTATAATCTATTGCCTAACTCTACACCCAGCGCATGGTTTTATTTTGATGACAAATGCAGCGATACAAAAAATAAAGGAATCTGTCGCTTGTAAACAAAATAAGACGCCATTGTATATTCAGCTGCACACACCGCGGTATGTTCGGCGTTTCAAGAGGGAACAAATGACGTCCTTAATATCATTCCGGGGGTTTTCAATTTGAAAGTCTGGTTTCTTTGATTGTTAATTAACCCATATCCTGTGTATTTACAAGCAAACGATTTTAGTTATCAGAATCGGGTCATATCGCCTTTTGAATGGTTTGACATGCAATTACATTTATATACACTAAACTCATTATAATTTGACCAATAATAGCTTTGCAATTATGTTCATTCTTTATGGGATGTCGTCTGCTTGGTCCATATAGTGACGTCATTAAAACATCATTATTTTTCCGGCGAATCTCTCGTATATCCCAGCTGCTATGGAGGTGGTTGCATTTGTGTTTTTATAAATCACCCGATATGTAGTTGACCTAAAACTTGTACGATGGCCATCTGTTAGCTTACCAGTTTCTAGTGATACATTAGTTGACATATTTGTGATTTTCTTTGAACTACCCCACGTATTCCGTTGACCACCCCCCCCCCCCCCCCCAACCATGTCCAGTCAAATACAAATTCCCCCCCCCCCCAAAAAAAAAAAAAAAAAAAAATACCCTTTATTGAGAAAAAATAACTCCGGACAAGCTACTCTTTATAGGACAATATTAACCCTGAATAAATTCAAATTCAAATTCAAATTTATTGTTTTCAATCCAAAGAGATAAGATCATTTTCAAGTTTTGTACATTGGATAACAAATTTCAAAGTTATAGTGTAGCATAGACAATTGAGTGTAAAAGAAAAGATAACAATAACCATGAGTGACACATGATCGCAAAACCTTTCATGAAGTAAACTAAGGGGCACTTGCGATGGATATCACGTGCATTACGTAATACGTACTTTTCTCACATTTCAAATGGTGCTATCGCAACGGCCTTAGGTTGTTTCTCGAAAGTCGTTGTGATCGTGGTGCTGCATAATTCCCCCTAGACAACTACCTTCAAAGACAGTCACCCAATGGATAATAATATTAACCTATATATCGGTGGTAAGAGGGTTAAGGGGAGTAGCTGTCTGTGGATATTTATCAGAGGTAATTATTTTGCATGAGGTATAGTTGTACGCACTCTTAACGAATACTGGGTAATTCTGAGCTAAACTTATGTAAAGTTATATATTTAAATGTCGAACTACATTTATCACTTACGACCATCCAGCCATTAAAATCAATAGTTTACACTGTTCATTTTAAATTCACTTTGTGTACGATAACAGAAGTCCCAGAAGATTGCCTTTGAACATGCCTATTATATAGAGAAACTTTTACCATAAACATTAAAAATAATCATTTTGGCATACTAATGCAACCTGCTTAGATGGGCTAACTCTCAGCTTCGTGTTTTCTTTTGTCAGAAAAGTTTATAGATCTTGGCTCTTTATCAATGACTTTTAAATCTAGTTTTTAACTTTTGAATTGCCACTTGACTTTGAAAGAAAAACAGATAAAATATACACAAAACAAACAACAACAGATATACATTCCAAAAAATATTAACAAAACAATTAACAAAACAAAGCAATAAGTTTCATAACCATATTAGACACATTCAGCATCATGGATGTACAAATATTGTACAAAATGAACAGTTACGTCGTCTGTAAATACAACTATTAACAAGCAATGATGTGATGATGATGATAATATTTCATCAACTCAAAACGAACATACAAATAAATAAACCAACTACATCAACAAACATAACAAAAACATGGACTCGTAGATATTGTTCTTGATAACCAAACCTTACCTGTCGATGATCTTATTCCGATTTACCGTCCTAGCTGTGCAGCCGACAGAGTCCGAAATGCCCCGAATTGTCATTGACTTTGACAGTGAGCTGTCTCAATTTTGTTGAACAAACTTGAAAGGTTTCGCAGCTTCCCGTCGCGACGTGCTGAGGCAACCTTGAAACATCACTTCGAAAAGTAGAAGTAGGATCTGTTTTCCGAACAAAAAGGTCATAAGTACATTCCAACACATTTGTTCCAATACAAACAGTACTTTTAAACCCTGTGTTAATCAACCTTTCTATCGGAAGCATTGTACCAAATGAATGGCTAGTTTCACTTGACAATTAAAGAGCTTTGTATATAGATACTTGCCCGACATACCAACCCCTGTTGTAAGCAAAACGAATTCTATGCCGTTGCATAGCAGGTGAATCCAGTGTTTCCGGAGACTGAAACATGCATACATTTAAATAAATTAGCAAACAGGTGAAACAGGTCTATTATGACATTCACCATTTTATAATTCATGAACAAATCTGCTTTGACTATAATTATCCAATGAATGTATTGAAGACGAGTCTGACAGAATAACATGTTGCTTATATGATGGATGCATAGTTTTGAGGATTGATCGCAAATTTTCATTTCTGTTGTTATCGGGGGGGGGGGGAGGTGTGGAGGAGGGTCATAAAAAAACCGATATGACCCTTCTCGGATTCTCTTGTGCTTTATCCATTATAAGACCAGCCCCACCCTCCCCTCTTGGCTTGACTACGCCCACCACATCAACGTCGAGATACTGAGAGCATGGCCAACTAACCATTTCGAAAGAATACATGGTGTAACCGCAAACTTCGCTCAATTCTAACCTCACCGTGAAAGCCTTCAGACAATATTATGTGGAGATACATTTTTGTTAGGGGATGATGATGGAATTGTTTTGCTTATATATTGTTTTAAAAGTTTATTCAGATAAAAAACTCATGAAGGTTTTTATTTAACACTTTTCATCGCTTGCAACCTTCTGTCTGATTTTGACGGAGTGGGTCACAAGTTGCCGATGGTACAAGCAGGAAGCGTTTTAGAAGGAAAAAAAAATATATAAGTGGACCTATTTTCTTGAAATTGATGATGAAGACATTTTGGGCGCCTGAGCTTCTGTCAGAGGACAAGGTTAAAGGTCAATTTTATCTATCATGTCAAATTTCATTTCTGGTATCTCAGTTAAAGCAAGGGCGGTCGAGAAGAAAATATTATTTACATAATTATGTCAAATAGTTAATCAACACATTTGTTGTTGTTGTGATAAATGATGTATATAAAACCCATTTTTAGGGAAATTAAAACGGAGTTGAAGTTAAATTGAAAGAGTTGTTTCAGAAACTCTTTCAATTAATCTATATCGAAGAGATAAACAAGAAACGATTAGCCTATGTCAAATAGTTATTCAACACATTCAACCCATTTGTTGTTGTTGTTGTGATAAACGATGTATTTAAAACTTAATCATAGCCCATTTTGAGGGATTTAAAACGGGGTCGAAATGAAATTGAAAATGTTTCTAAATTCTATATTTGAAATATAGTCAGAAGTTAGCGTTAATGCATAAATATGTGAAAAACGGTAATGTGATGGTATGGGTGGATAAATGAACAAATCATAATTATGTAATACACCAATATTCATAATTTGGTATATACCCCCCACATCCCCCCCCCCCCCATGCCCGCTAACTTTAGGTCAAGGGCCCATATTTACGAATCCCTTATATTTCTTAATTCTGGATCAGTCATTGGGAAAGTATATAAATTGTAACATTAAATTTAAAAGTTTGATGGATTTGTTGATTCGAATCGCTTTGATTAACAGTTTGCAATTCGCTGGAAATGCGTGGCTTGAAGAAGCATTGGCAGGATAATTGGCCTTTTGCTAAGATCGTGAATGACATCATTACGTATTTACGTATAATTATGTACCTCTTGGAAAACAGATTATCTCACGAATCCTTAAGTCAACTTCTTTCCTTTAAGTTGGAAATCCAACAAAAAGAGAAAACTATTACTCCATTCTTGCACTTGAGCAACCCGTTTTTATTTCTTTCTCGCGGTTATAGAACAGCCTTTCCTCTCCATTATAGCTTAACAAAATAATGTGATTTACAATTATTGTGGACTCAAATTTCGAACTATATCAATTTCTTTGTTGACAATGTGGTTACAACAAAGTGCAATCTAAAAACCTGCGTGGTTGTTTTTGTCCGGGGTTAATCCAAATCAACTAAATTCGTGGTCGATTTGACTGCATTCGGGGTCTGAACAAGTGGTTATTTTTGACAAAGGTGCAAGTGTTATGCGATTACTGTCAAAATTCGACCACTATACACGGAAAAGGATAGATTTCGCTGCTGATATGCGCATTGATCGGTAGGCCTATCCGTGCCGATTTACTGATAATGTAATTTAAATTGCCTTTTTTTAAAAAAATCTGATGAGTTGTTTACTCCTTTGCATTCAGAATACCCAAGAAAAGTATAACAATTGTTACCAACTTTAATAGCAAACTTTCATTGTATCATGCATGATTTATTACTACGAACTACTTTTTCGCGGATGATACCCCCCCCCCCATGACAATTACCCCCCCCCCCCAGAAATTTTGTTTTTTACCCGTACAATGAATGGGGATTTCAGCAAAATTTAACTATGCGGCCCGTTACCCTGGGCAATGGGCGCATCTTTCCCATTAACTATTGACCGTTAGACAGGCATTGCTAAAATCACGACTCCAATTTTTACCAATCAGACGACTAGATATAACATACTAATTTAAAGAGAGGTATATAATAATTGTAAATAGTACACGAGGGTTTAGAATTCTACAGCCCCCTGAGCCCGGGGGAGGGGGGGGGGGGACCGGGGTACTCAGATTTGGTTTGGACGGGGGCGTGCCGCGCTGTAGCCTCGGAACCCCATTTTTAAAGGGTAATTTGGGGTGATTTTTCTCGAAGTAAAGCACATTTTTCGCAGTTTTGCCATACAAACACCTTTAAAAATTTGAAATTTTGAAAAAAAGGAACCATGTTTAGAGATATTTTGTTAAAAATATGACCCATGTTTAGGTATTTTTTGTAAAAAGGTGACCCATTAGAGCGGCACGTACACTCCCCGTTTGAACTCCTGCCCGAAAATGTATCATACGCCGCTCAAGCCTCGAAACCCCTGCCCATGATTAGGGTTCATTTGGGGGCAATTTTCACAATTTTCACAATTTTGCAAATTTTGAAAAAACGGACCCATGTTCAATGGTAATTTTGTTAAAAGTGGGACCCATGTTTAGGAATTTTTGTGAGAAAGTGACCCATTTGAGCGGCACAACCCCGTATGTCCTAATATGTGAGGGGGTTGGGCTCTCCACGTTAGTCAAGGTAAATCTACCAACTTCACCATACAAAATGATGTGCCATGGTTGAATCAGGGAGGTGAGACTCACATGCCCTGGTTGAATGTGATGTTATTCGAGTGTTTGGTACCGATGGTGCGACTTCTACATCACTTGTTTTTATTTTGGTCGAGTTTTAATGTCAATGTGGAAAATAGTCAAGGGGTTTTGCTGTAGAAATATTTTACAACCTGACATTGCCAATTTAAAAAAGTTATATTTTGCAACTGCTTATGTGGTTATGTTACACATACTTTCTACATTTTTGTGATTGAATTTTATTTTTGTAAATTTATATGATAACTTAATTACGTCATTTTAAAATTAAAATATGTATTTGCAATATATTTGCAACGTAAAAAAAAAAAATCATTATATGGGCACGTGTCTCAAAATTGACAAGTTTCTCAACTTCATAATAACTTGAAATTCTTGACTGCTTACTTCACAACTGTACGTCCGCATTGTACATGTATGATTTGCATGTGCACATAACGTTATCAATATCATTGCATTGCGAAGGTTACGGTATGTTGACAATTCTGACAAGGTAACTCTGCGCGAAAGATATTGCCAAAATGGCTTCGGGGTCGATAGATTTACGACATAAACTCGACTCTCATCATCGTCGTAGTCACAACAAGCAGAACCGTCGAATGCCAAGTGGTGATGACTCTGATTTCACAGTTGCACCGCGCCGCAAGAGGCGACGTCGTGATCGCAATCATCACTGGCAGCCGAGATCCTTCGAGGATGAAATGGAGGAAGTGAAGAAGATTCACTCCGGTGTGGCTCAGATGCAACTCTTCACTGAGGAAGAATGCAGCGAGATCGAGGACAAAATCAACGAGGTCGTCGACATAGCAGAGAAGGGGCTGTATCGAGATCATACGGTCGACCGAGCTCCCCTGCGCAATAAGTACTTCTTCGGGGAGGGCTACACTTACGGCTCGCAGCTGAGCAAGAAAGGCCCGGGGCAGGAAAGATTGTACCCGCCAGGAGAAGTGGATGACATACCGCAGTGGGTTCAGGATCTTGTCGTCAGCAGGGTTGTAGAAGCCGGATTAGTTCCTCATGGTGTGCATAAAATAATTTGAACTTACTTTTCTTATTAGACCTAGACTCTATAGATCTATATCAAGTTAATTGACTTCGCAGAAACAAAAAACAAAAAACAGAAACTAATGAAATGAATGGACTAATTTTGATTTAATTATAGATTATGATACAAATAATAGGAAACAGAAAACGTTAGGCTAGGTCTATTTGTTAAAACTTTCATATTCAGTAGAGTGCACATGCACAGCCAAATTAATTCCTTCTCTTACTGTAAATGTAGAGTGTAGCCTGATCAAAATGATCGGTACAACACATTTTGAAAGTCACTAAGAGCTAGCTTCATCGTTATTCATGACGTTTTGACTGTTATTTCTAAATTCTTTGTTACTTTTATTTTAGGATTCATCAACAGTGCTGTGATCAATGACTACCAGCCCGGAGGTTGCATCGTCTCACACGTTGACCCCATCCATATCTTCGACAGGCCCATCATCTCGGTCTCGTTCCTCAGTGACTGTGCACTCAGCTTTGGTTGCAAGTTCTCCTTTCGACCTATCAGGGTATCCAAACCCAAGGCCTGTATCCCCCTGCCCAGAGGCTGCGTTATGACTCTCAGGTGAGACTCGGACTAACTTCTTTTTAGAGTTCTGAATTGGATAATTGTTTAAAGCCCCACTGCACTACTTATAGCTACTTGCGCCCTCTATATAGCAAACAATGCCTAATCAGTGCCTGTTGGTCCCCCATGATCCCCTTTTTCTTATGATAATTGAGAGCTGATTTGATGAGATAAACACCTGTCAGTGATCTTGCAGGGAGGTATAATCCCTCCTGGCCAAACTAGTGCAGAGGGGCTTTAATAAACTGAAGTGTATCACAAATATTTGCTGTTTTTCTTTCAAGAATCACAGGAAATGTGGTTATTTACCAACCTGATATTGATAAGGTAGAAGTGTTACCAACCTTGAGATATTTCATAGGACATTTCATTCAGATTTTTAAGGGTCCTTAATGCCAACACATTTTAATTAAGGTTAAGCTCACCCCAGGTGGCTTTCGCACTCCATATTTCCTTATTAATAATAATAATAATGATGTTTAATTTTTAACAGTATTTCATACATAGAGGGCTCAAGTAGCTATAAGTAGTACAATGGAGATTTAAAAGGCACTGTACATTTCAAACTAAGCCAAAAATACATTCTGTGTTGGTCTTGATATTCATTGTACATTAAAGGTATAGTTGAGTATTGGTAATTTCCAAAGTGCCCCTCCAAAACAAATTTGGTTTATTTCAGTACCATATGAAAGATCATCGAAAAAAACATGGGAGATGATAATAATTCCAAATCAAATGCTCTAATTGTTGTGCAATTTGCTTTCAAAACATTATATAAAAGTGTTTGACGTCCGGACATCACTTTTGAGTTTCGACGGTTTATTTTTTTAATTTACGTGTTTAGCTCCCTCTATGTCATTTAACAACCAGCGTATTTACAACGAGTGTTTGAGTTCGTTGGTACGTACAGTACTACAGGTAGCTAGCAGGCGGGTATCCGACCGCGCGCTAGTAATACAGTACAGCTGATCAATTCCAATACGCTGCTTTCACGTAAAGTATAACACACACAGCTCATATCAGATTATCACCGGCGCCGATCGAACGCTAGACAGCTACAGACAAGCTTTGATTGAAATACGATAACGAGATCGAGATTGGAAAAGGAGCTCGAGGTCACGGACGATGGCCGACTCGGACTCAGCTAGTGCTAAGCCTAAGGACAAGGCTAAGGCTACGCTAAATCGGAATAAGACTAAGTAAGACGGTAAGAGGAAGGAGAGAAACAAGCAATGGCAGCTCGACCATCCGGCCCAGAGGAGGCGCGGGAGTGGCTGTGAACAAGGCCAGGGTACGGCGGAGAAACTTCGCGAGCTGCAGGCGGCCTTCTCGTTGCCGAGTCTAGAGGATGCAATAGACATGCCAGCTCACTGAGAGGTAAGTTGAAATGATATACGCCCCACTGCATTGGGTAGGCCTACCGTTTTAATTTGATCTAGTCTAGAGACTAGATGCATGGAATCGGCAAATTTAAGAAATTACGTTTTGTTATCTCTTGCCTTGGATTTTTAATTCAGATTTCATGAATCATATGATATTGATAGTCTAGCCTAGGTCTACAGTAGACCGAAAGCTTCAGTCTCTATATCGTCGTTTGTTCCACTGAGACTACGTCTGGCTCCACTAGACCTCCGGATGAATTTGGTTCAAATGAAAATATTGGAAGCATATGCGATCCTACAATATTCAGTGAACGTTGTCGCGTTGAAATCGAGTCTAAAGTGATGAAATTGTAAATAATAATCTCTTTATGGGGTATACTATAACTCTCTCTCAAGGTCAATATATTAATTCAGCTATACAACAAGCTACAATTGACCGATTGGCTATTACCTTTTTGAAATTATATATCACAACTACATATTCCGGGATTTTTATGGTAGCAGCTACCGTTGTACGACCGTCTAGGCGCTATTTTAAATTTATCAAAATATTCAATTTTTTTCGAAAGCAGAAGTGTTTTAGGAGCTAAATTTTCTAGTGCTTATAATACTTCCACAGGGGCATCCAAATATATCAAAATTGTAAAGAATCACTATCCACCCAATTTTCAAAATTTCCCAAAACTTTGTAATAGACCCTACCTTTAATGTCCCTCGTTACAACTGCAGTTTTCTTTGTAATGATGACGTGCAGGGCTAGTCAACCGGGTAAACATCCTGCTCTTTTTAAAAGTCGACAAGGTTATACTATAGCTTGCTTGAGATGTGACTGTCTCATCTATATTTATCTCTACCAAAGAGTGTCTCAACTTCACATACATGACAGAGAACCAATGCATCAGTTATTAGTCATGCAAATTCCGAATCTGGCTAGCTGTGATAATTATTAGAGAATGCCATCTTCAAAATAATTTCTTTTGGTGATTTAAAATCTGAATGTTTTTTACTTTGTGAATGACTTTCGTTTCTTCACTTTTTACAGATATGAAGAACAGACAACACAATCCATCCCCAGCGAAGAAATTCCAAGCAGCAGTAGGGGAATTAGCAGGTGAATAGTACAAGTCACCTTTGACCGCAAATTCATGGAGAACTTGGCCTACTCTGCTGATTTGCTCGCTTCAGGTAGGATTCTGTATACATGTACGAAAGGCTCTGTAAATTGAGAGGAATTTAATGAGAATGCGTTCATTACGTACATGTTTGCAAGATTGAGCTCTTTTTGGTTATGACCTATAAAATTGGGACATATCAGCAGGTCAAGATAATGCATCTTATTTGCTCATGTGTATGACATGGGATTTTCAATATTGATTTTGTGGTATGAAAATAATGAAATGCCCTATCATTTATATCAGTTTTTATTTTGTTTTCATAATTCCTTAGGCACACCAGCATGCTCGAGTGTTTCCACAACCATATACTGATGTATGCTTCCAAGCGGTATTCCTTTGAGTAAGTATTTTTAGTATCATTTTGTATGTTTGAAGTAAGATTGTGGAAAAGTTGAAACATATCATTACAGTACGGTTACAGTTACAATATCATATTTTGAAGCAAATAGCAAAGTTAATGAGAAATTATGAATGACATCTATATAAATGCTGAAATCACTTTTGGATGCATGCAGAGTCTTGAAACAGCAGACTTTGTATCGTACTTGTGTCGGTACCTGATGTTAAGTCAAGTTGGAGTGGTTGTAGCAGGGAAATGTAACTACCTTTAAATAAGAGTCAATAATTTACAACACGAATCCAGAACTGAAGTGAATGGCTCGTATTCACAAAGGAGGTTTGTACAAACCATGGTTTGGCCAAGGTTTACATCTATGGAATGCCATTTGTAAACTGATGGAGAAGGAATGTAAACTCCATACTTGTTAACAATGTTAATTTACAATTTACGGTATGCGAGCAGCATTCCATAGATGTAAACCATCGTCAAACCATGGTTTGTACAAACCTCCTACAAACCTCCTTTGTGACTACGGGCCAATGAGTCTGAGATTTGTCTAAAGCATTTACTATTCATTCATCATGGTAGTGGTAATACCAATTGTTTGTCTTATCCATCCAGCTACCCAGCAAACTGGGCAAGGAATTTGCTTGCGGTCATCGACTACATGGCACACAAGGACAGGCCCGACCAGATTGATGAACAAGGCAATACAAAGTGAGTGGAAATTAGAAAGAAAGAAAAAAAGGTTTTCTTTTCTTTCTTGTTTTTCCTATTTTTATTTGTACATTTTTTTTTAGATGGACAAGGCAATCCAAAGTGGGTGGAGTAAAAAAAAAAAACATGATTTTTTGTTTTCCCTGTGTAGTTGGACAGGGCAATCCGAATTGGCAGTTCTTTCCCATGAAATTTATCAATTTTGGGGAAATTATTAAATATCTAATTGTCCTTCCTGGGAACGCCCCTTTTAAATCGCCAAAATATGACGTCATCTAAAGAAGTTGTCCCTGTACACGACGCACATCTAAATTATGTAGATGACGGACTGTAAGCTGATGGTTTGTCAATCATGCTGCTGATTTTGGACCCTAAATGCGGACTTGGATTCAGTGTAATAATATACTTGGTGTGTAATGCAAGGTTCTGGAGTCATCAAAATCATCATAAATTTGGCAGAGTTTTGGTAAAGTAACAATCACTTACACAGAAAGATGTATATGGGACAACACACATGGTGTCGGCCTGTCGGGGCTAGTACTACCCTGATTTCCTTATCTTTCTATGCTCATTACTCAGCCAGTATACATTTTCTTCCAAAATTGTTTGGCACATGACATTTATTTGTAATCTTGAACATTCAGTGTAAGTTTCGTTAGATTCTGTGAGAATTCATTTTCTTTTTTTACCAGAACTCAAGTTTATCTTTAAGAGATATGAATCATTTCCAATTGACAAGAATGAGTGTGCATATAATGCAACTTGTTACATTTTGCATGTTCTTTTATTTTATGATACAGATATGTTGCAGTATGGTCAAAGCGTGCCAACAACTACGTGGCCCGGAAGGAGAAGGTCCCCAAGACCTACCCATACATGTATGTACAAGGACTCATCGGTGCGATACTGGAACGCAGAGAACAGGACCAAGGACCACTGTTCTCGAAGGCTGTTCTGCTCCCTGATGACCCTAGACACACAAGGCCCCGGCTTGCACCATTTCCTCCACCACAAGTTGATGTGATCCTAGCCAGGAGACTAGGCCGATTAGAGAAATCCATGTAATCCTCTGTAGTGAACATTTGGGATTGTCTGACTTGAGAACTGCTTTTTTTCGAGCAGAGACTAAGGGATCCAAATGGCGTCCTTCCGTCCATCCTCCGTGACTGTACACAAATTTGAATGAAGTCTAATGTGAAATCTTACCTGCAAAAATCAATTAGGGTTGCTAACTTTCCAACCCTGCATCTGTTTGTAACCATACTTGATTGGTAGATGCCCTTTATTGGCCTCCATGATATTCTGGAGTTGAAGGTCACATAAGTAGGTCAAAGGTCAAATGAGGTTCATTGTTGCATGATTGCATGCAAGACTCTTAATCGC